TATTCCTCTACCTAAAGCTCCGCCCTCTTCCACTCCCCCTGGAGTCATGGAGTGTAATATCCATTTTCTACGAGAGCTGGCAAAGTTTTCCAATACCATTTGCCATAATTCTGCTTCGCACATTGACACCTAACCGAAAGCCGTTCAATAAGAGCCAAAAGACAAGGCGGGCAGAGAGTGGAAGGAGCTCTAAAAAATTGTGAAAAGCACTCGAAATCTTGGACAACACTTTTCCGACTTGGACATGGACACTTAACTGACAATGTCTGACCTTTTCAGCAGCACAAGTCGGCGAAAAGTAAAAGCAAAATTTAAGCAAAAATCGTACGAAGACATAACAAAATTTTTGATGTATGTACAAATGTGGGGGGTCAGTTGTGATAGGGTGGGAAAACTCTTTCCGGGGGTTGGAAAATGCTTACGTGATGTTCGAGTCTTGTGTGAAGGTCGCAGGGAGGTTGGGGTGAAAGAAAGCAAGGATGGGTTGGACAAGTCAAGTCAGCGCATTGTTGCATACGTAAGGAAAAGCCTGGAAAAGAGGGAAAACTCCAAAGGGCTAGGGCAGGCACTGGAGATGCAGATGGAGACGGCGCCTTTGTGTCACAAGTTGCCAACACATATTTTCCGACTCCGTGAGGTTTTCCCAGGCAAACTTAAAACTGTCAAAAGTTCAGCCATCTCTTTCTCGCGCTCTACACCCATCTCGGTCTCTACGTGAGGCATCCACATTTGGCCGCCTGTCAGCAGCTGCTCCTCGAACGCAGGACGCGGTTCAATATTGATTCAACTTTCTGGCCAACAACTCGGCGATTAAAAGTGCATTTAAATCCGGCAAAATGGTGGTTTAAAAGGGGTGAAGTGATTCAATTTCATGGAATTTCATCATCTGTATCACATGAAGTCAGCCCTTGGATCTTAACCCCTTGAAAACCAAATTTTGCCTTGGATTTGAATTCTGAACTTTCTTTACTTTTTAATTTTGCAGCACAATAAGCTACCGTTTGCTACTTTAATACTACATTTAATATTTTACTATCCCAAGAAGTAAGTCCGTATCGAAAGGGTTAAGCCTAACCTAATCACCTCCACCTGCCACCTCCAAATGCATCGAAAAGCCCCCAAGGACAAGCAAACAACAGCTGCCTGCAAGTATGCTACAATAAACTGAACTGCACCTCCTACAGTAAGGCCTACGACGAGGGACAGGGCTAAACAGGTCTTCCCATAGAATAGCCTTGAGCCACGCTGCACTGTTTCCAGCAAGGATATTTCATGGGACGGTGTGGGGTCATTGTGTGCCGGTTGTTGCGTGTTTACGCAACGTAACCAAAGTCAAAACCTCGATTAGGATTCAATCTGCTGCTGCCGGCAACACTGGCCACGTTGCGAGTCCATGTTGTTGTTACCCCCCGGGCATCGTAACCCCCCATTCCCCTTCCTGAATACGTATCCATGCACTCCCACTTCCCCTTTCAATTGACCCCACGCAGGTCAGGCTACAAAGTCAAACCGATTAAAACACACGCACGGGTTAGAGACAGACAAGTCGAGATGATAAAGTTCCGCTTTGGACAGAAAGATACCTCTTAATGTATATTAATATTCGATGTATATTAGTAATACATTTTAAGCTGATTATCAGCCATAACTCATAGGAATTTAGTACAGATTATCTTAGATTAAGACTTTATGATTATATCAATCTGTAAATTTAAACTTAGAGCTGCTACAGGGTACTCTGAAGCAGCGACGGGGCTCCAGCTGCGTTGTCCGGCCGTGTCCTTTCGTGTCCACATAGGTAGTCCCATTGTAGTCCACTCCGGGCCGAAACAGTGGGGCTCTGCAGCTCTGCAACTCCGGAGCGGTATTCTTCAAGGGGCAATTAACTGTTAAGCTGCCAAACAGCGGCAGCAAAAAAGTCCAAAATCAAGCGAAAAAAGTAGTTGTCTCGGTCGATGGAGAGCGGAGTCCGAGGGATGTGTATGGGACTTGCATAGATTAGATTTCAGCTGGAACAGGATGCCATCACCCGATCACCCTGCCATGCCCCTTATCCACGAGAATCCCCGATGTCGTGCAGTAGCAAAATATTTGCAGCTGCCACAAAAGCGGGGACCGCACAGTGGCGGCCATAAAAGAGCCATTAACGCCAGGAGTTTGGACCAGCCACAGCCACTCCCCGCGCCCACCGCGCACATCCTTGGGGATAATTTAAAGCGCTTAAATTCGGGGCGGTGAAAATGCTTGAGTGGAAACTGTCAGCAACATCAGCGCATCCAATTGCCAATTAGCCAAGGTGCAAGAAATCAAATGAAAAACCGCGAAAAGCAGCAAAACCATTTCAAATGAAGTGAAAAAAGGGAAAATTCTAAGAGAAAGATTAAATATATTTCAAGGAAACTTCTTGCTCACACAAAAGATGCGAAGGAAAACACGAAACCAATTTGAAAGATAACAAAAAGAAGAATCACTTCGAGTCGTTAGATTTGGGAGGTTACTTAAGCTAACAAAATTAAGGATATAAAATTAAAGATAGGAAATATTATTATTCTGTTTCCAATACTGATCTAGGTTCCTCACTTACTCTATCAAAGAGAGCTTACTAAAATAATTGAAATCGATTTAAAATTATTGATTTTTATAGTCCCTTCATTCTTTCCCAAAATACTTCCCATAATGAGTGGCAAACTTGGAATACATTTTAAATATTCCTCCGAAAGAGTATTAAACAGAAGAGAAGCTTAGAAGGACACTCATCAAGGAGCAAGGACAGGACCACGCCCAGCTGTCTCAACAGTCTACAGCAAATTAATTTGTCGAGTGTCCGTTGCAGCCAGAGAGCCTTGAAGCGAAGGCCACGCTGAAGGTGCATCAATGAGTTGACAGTGTGGAAAGCGCTTTTCTCATCCGGCTTCTCCACCCAATCCAATCCTGCCCTCCTCCCCCGTTCCACAAACAAATCTTTCTGCGGAAATCTCAATCTGCGCTCGAGCAAATTGTTGTTTAAATAAAAATTTAAAGCAAATTGCTGCGCGGAAGTAAATCGTTTTGTGGTAATGGTGGATAAAAAATGTAAGCCACAGCATATCAAATTACCCTCGGATGGAAGAGGAGATGTTGCCAGATGACAAAGTGCGTGGTTTCCCGCGCAGGAGGAGGGGTAGGGGAGTGTAACAAGGTGTAGCTGGAAGTAAGTCAGCTTCTTGATAAGTGGGGTTCGGGATTCTGAGGGGGTGGATTCATCCCGGGATGCGGTTGACAGTCGGGCGCGTTTTGATGCGATGTTGAAAAATTGTTGCTAATTTTTTAACAGCCAACGGAGACGGAGTTCCGGAGACTGGAGATGAGAATATCGCATTTCCGGGGAGTCGCCGGCGAGTGCAAATGGTTGGCATTTTAATTTTATTAGAACAGGAGCAACAAGCGAAGGATAAAAGAAAATCCCCTTAAAGGAGATCTTTCTCCGAGATAGAAGTCACAAAAACACTTAAGGCAAACGGATAACTTTTAAGATCTTCCTTCCAATTGATGTCATTAGGCATATGTTTAGAATGACAGTTCCACGGATTCCATCTTCAAGGTTAGGTAATGTTCAGCACGCCCAGAGCTAGCACACTTACAGGATCTAACCCATAACTTTATAAGCCGCTTTAAGTCCTTGGCAATGATGGCCCAAATACGCGTTAGCCAAAATCATATGCAGAATTTGTCCGGATGTAACAAATGCACCTTTCAGCAGGGAAACACAAGCTCATTGTCTCTTATACAGCTCCCAGTCCTATTTCCCAATGCAATTTAAGCAGCCGCAGAAAAATGTTGCCAACATATTTTGCACAATGTTTTCCTACGCACTCAGGACCAAAAAGGGCAGACGAACGACTTGGGGGACTTTGCTGAAATGACATTTGGCTCCGTATGTGACAGGATGTGCAGGAAGGAGCAGGAGGGCAGGAGGAGGACCTCACAGGAGCAGCCGTTGGCATTGAAAAAGGCAATTTAAGTGAAGCACCAAGTGGGAGGGATTGGTACAGTAGAAGATGTCTAGGTAGGTTCACACAACAATTTCTATACTTTAATTCTTTGTATTCATGAAGAATATCAAAAATAATCTGATTTAAAATGTACTCACTTATCTAGGTACTTCTGAAGTAAGTTGTACCTGAGAAAAACAGTACCATTGTCACTACTTCTGGCCAGAAGGTACACACAGATGTACGCAAACAAGATCCGACGCATGCCAATTGTAGCCACCTTCCTGCCCCTCGCGCCCATCACTCATCCGCAGGGTGTGCGCAAATTTTGATAAATTGCCGCTGCTACCTTTCGGGGGGAAACCTGCATACATATGTTGTCTGGCAGATGAAATGACTCAATCCGGGAAGGTGAAATCAAGACAAATGCATTGCACTTCTCAAGGAGAAAAGTGCACGCCATCAATCTTAATTAAAAGCCAAGTCGCACAGGCAGCGGAATTGGAAAAGTTTCCTTTCGAGAGGAAAACAAACAATAAATCTGGGAAATTATTAGCAGCGCCAATCGAAATCGAAGTGCAAACTTGCAGGGTAAAGATTTGGTCGAAGAGGGAAGGAGCACCTTCAGCCGGGCGTGATAAATGGCAGCCAGAACCACAGGGAAGTTGGGAGGCGGAGGGCTGCGCCTAATTGAATTTAATTGCCACTTAATGGTGCAATGAGCTGATGGCCAATGCCAGCCAAGAAAGCGAATCGAACTGCGACTTGGAGTCCAAGGTATGAAGTGGAAAACTATGTGGAAAACTACTAAGAGGGAAAGGGAAAGTAACTAATAAATAAAGATGAGTAAGCTGGCTCCAACATTATGTTCACGGGAAAAGCGCTCGGAAAAGTGCAAATAAAGTTCATTAAGTAATCGAAATTTATTTTAAATTATATTCTTTAACATAACATATAATTGGAGTGTATTATTCCATAGACCTTTTAATCAAAAAGCAAAAAATTCAATTCTTTTTTAAATTTTAACATTTAATAAGAAAATGTGCGGCTAAAGTTACGATTGCGTGGCGGCAGCATTGCGGGAAGAAGAAACATTTGATCCAGCTCATGGATCCATCGGGTCATTACTGAAAGAGATCGTACACATATGGGCCAGGTTGTTGGACACCGTTCAGCTTACCTATCTTGTGGCCAGATATCAGAGGACATGCGCCATGAAAGGTGCGCTGGTCAAAGTCGTACGTCTCTCCATCCAGGTTGTGCCAAAATAATGCAGATCCCTTTTGAGTTGGCACGACCAAGTTTAATTGGGGAAAGGCTGTGGCTCCACCGTGCTGCACATTGTTCAGCTGTGAAGAGCAGTACTTAGGCAATATGCTATGACGTTTAGATCATGCTTAATTACGTAGAAAATGAGAGTGGCAATGCGATCGCCTGCCCTCTGTAAAAAGGGAGATGGGGTAGAGAAATAGTCGTGGTGTGGCACAAAGTGACCCCCAAAGCCGTACTTCAGGAACTGCATTTCTCTTCCGCTCTGCAGCCTGAGACCTGTAATGTCCTCTGTTTTCCGACTAATGCGGTCCAAGAGCCTCTGATCTTCGGGATCCGCTTCCGGATAAGGAAGCCACACACTATCGGCGGTACGAGATGGGGCTACCTTCTCCGTTCCGTTTTCCGCATGGAAGACCATGGCCCGCTCTAAAAATGGACGACTCTTGCTTTCCAGGCTCTCAATCTCGGAGTCGCTGAGAACGCTATGGTAGATCACTATATACGGGTTCAGAGAGAGTTCCTCCATTCGGAAGGGGGCTAGCTTCAGGAAGGGCGAAGTTGTGGTGTTGTAGCGGCAGTGAAGCCTCGAGCTTGTGGATTCGTTTGCCTGTCTTCGACTTACGGATCTGCAGAGGTGATTAAAGGACTCTTCAGCTTCCGAGGAGTCAAAGTCAGGGGTTGATTCTTGAGGATTCTTAAGGAAGTGAAGAGCGAGCGCATTGCCAGCTCCACCGAACCTGGAATCCTTCATCAGGATGTCGCGTGCGTTGGATTCCTCGCCTGCAGGAGAGATAAATCTATATAAAGTTCCTTCGGATCCTTTTCGACAGCCAGCACCCACCACTTGCTACTAGAGAGCGAGCAAGAAGCAAAGTAACATCTATATCTGAGACCCCGATCACCTCATGGTATTTGCGGGGCTGCTCTGCCAACAACTTCTTGGCCAATCGCAGCCACTTGGAGGCTAAAAGGTAGCTGCCCATCTTGAAGGAGCCCTTTCCCATGGCGTAGCAATCGCTAGCTGATAAGCTGCCACTGGTCCGCAAGACTTGAATGTAACACACATTAGAAGATTCGCTGTTGGGTAACTAACCTGTACTGCACTCCGTCTACCAATCCTCTGGCCACATCCCTGGGTTCCAAGCCATAAGTTTGGATAATGCGAAACATGGCCAGACTGGCCTCCGTCAGATCGTCCTGCAATGGAAGGTCCTTGCGAAGTTCCTCGATTGACGCAATTTTATCTGAATATTTTGAAGAAGAAAATAAGAGGTCAGAACAGATCAGGTTTCTTACCTAGGCCCACTGGCTTCTGCATGAACTTCTCCAGCGGCTCCCAATCCTCGCGCATCTGCCGGATGAGGGTTAAGCTCATAAAGGGGTTGGACAGATACTCGTCTTCTCTGTTCTTTGCTTCTTCCAAGGGCTTTTTAAAAGCTTTAGCTATGCTAAAATGATAGAAAATGACTAAATTGCACGTTTAATCTGTGTTTAGTCACCCTCGCAGTGCGTCGATCTTGTCCTGCAGCTCCATGGCATAACTATTGAGTTGGATAATGAGCTCCTTATCTTTTGCCAGTAAGTTCAACTTCTCCTCCGATGATGTTACGTAGTTCTTACGATCAACATATCCCTGCACCAGCCAGCTCAGACCAAGCATAAAGGTAAGTTTAAGCCACATAGTGTCTGGCACTCATCATCATAAGCAACTGTTATTGTGACGACCTTCCATTCGTTAAGCGTCACGGTAAGTTAGAGTGAAACTAATTCTTAAAATTACTTTTCTAGTGAATGTTCTGCTCCTCAGCCATCTAAGAGAGCTCTTTTTTAGAGACGATTAACATTTTCTTATAGGTTTTATTTAGTATTTAAGTTATAATATCTAACATCAGAAAATATTGCGATAATTATTAAACTCCCTCATTGTATAGCGGCTGCCACGACTGGAAAGAAAGAGTAGATGATGATCAGCCATAGTTAAAGGCGAATTTCAGTTTCTTACCCGAATTGGAACCGTCAAACACAGGGCAGGAAGCGTGCCAATCCATTTTATGGGATTCCCCATTCACATGACGCCAGAAAAGAACTTTTCCTCGCTCCGCAGATACTTTCACATTAATGCGCGGAAAAACTGTGGCACCACCATGAGGGACATCATCCAGCTGAAAAGCAAAGCTTTCAACAGGAACTTCCTGGATAAAGAACTTACGTAAAAGATAAACGAGGCACTCCGATCATTACAACCTTTGGGAACCGCATTGGACTCGTTGAATAAGTCATGGTGATTCGAGGAGTAATGACCCCCGAAACCAAACTGAATGTAGTTTACAGAATGTCTATCACAGATTTTCAATCCGGTGATATCCCGCATCCGCTTGGTCAGTCGATCCAACAATAGTTCCCCAGATGGGGGCATGTCCTTGTAGGGTAGAATGGTTTTCAAGGCTGAGCGACCTTCAAAACCGCCATGTTCTCCAAAAACCTCCATTGGTTTTAGTTTGTGCTCCGCCAAGAGTTTCAACTCCTCAACATCCTTTACTGGCAGGATGTCATGGTATACCATGATGTAAGGTTCCAGGGAGACCTCCTCCATCTTGAGTGGAGCCAATATCAGAAACGGCGACGTGGTAGTGATATAGCGACAGGAGAGCCTTGAAGATTTCGTTGGGGAAGAGGAACGGCACAGCCTCTTGTAATCTTCTGTAAAATCGTGCCCAAAGTCTACAGCCTTGAATGGATTTGCCGCGAACTGATCCAGCAAGGTAGTCGAATTCTCTGCTAGATCGGGCTGCTCCAAGAGCACTTCCTCAGCGTCTTCTTTAAGGCCTGACTTCTGGTTTATAAAATGTACTGAATTACTTTGATCCACCTACCCAATTCCATCAAACAGCGGGCCTCCAGGAGGGCCACATCTCTGCTAGTCATCCCCAGCACCTCATAAACTCCCGAGGAAGGCTCTGCCATCCGAGTCCTGGTGTTGGTCAACCACTGAACCGCCTCCTTAAACTGACCCAGCTTGAAGTACGCCTTTGCGATTTCAAAGCAATCCAGAGCTGAGAGGGTAGAGCTAAAGATCGGAATTAGAGAATGTTGTTTTACGAGATCGAGTGAGTCCTTACTTATATCGCACGTTGTCTATGAGACCGTGGGCCATCTCCCAGGGCATCATACCGTAGACTTCTGCCATTCGGATAATGGCCAGAGTGGCTTCATCGGTATCCGCCGGCCAAGGCAGTTCTGGTAACTTGCTCTTTAGGAAATCGATTTGTTCTGCAAATAAATTTATTGACAGAAGTTAGTTTTCCTAGTTTCCTGCCTTTCTCACCCTCTCCCACTGACTTCTTCATAAACTCTTCCAGGTAGTGCCAATCCTGGTACATGTGTCGGATAAGTGGAAAACTGTGGAGGGGATTGCCCAGGTACTCCTCCTCCACACCTTTTGCAGCCTCAAGTGGTTGTCTGATCTCCCGAACAAGTCTGTAGAAAAACATCCAAAGGAATAGGTAGTTCCATAGGTATTTATAAAGCTCATCCTCACCGCTGCAGCTGGGCAACCTTTTCCTCGACCTTCTCAGCATATATAATTAGGTTATTGATCAGTTCCCTGTCCAACTGCAATAAATCCATTTTCGCTGACTCTGCGACTAGGAACTCTTTGTGTCTATCAAAAGTCACTGAGCTTGCAGCTTTCCAAAAGAAAAGCAATAGCAGAAAAGTGCAAACCCTTTTGAGCAGCATTCTCTTTAAAACTGATGAGGTAGTAGGGAACGGTTTAAAGGTGTCAAACAATCAAGATGTGACCAATTTTCAATTTAACGTTGATAATCGAATTACCTCAAGAAGCGTTACCCAGTCTAGGTAAACCAAAAATTATTTATTATTTATTTTCATTACAATATTCAGTGTAAAAGAGAAATGGGCTTCTTACTCTTCTTTTTTCAAAATGAACTTGATCATAACTGGAAACAAAAATGGAAAACATGGTTAAAAGATATATATTTAACGAGCATAACCACTCTACCTAATCCACTGCCTGCGATATTTGGACAAATCGTGGTGGCCAGCTCCTTGTGTTGCAAGGTGATCAGCACATTGCCCCTCCTGGGTTGGACAAAAAGATCTTCTTTTGGCATGGTAATAGCCCCACCCAATGTCACATCTCTGAGCTATATAAGGATATCGACAAGATCAGGCAGAATATAAAAATGAATAGCACTTACGAATATTAAAACAGTGGCCTCGATGTCCTCCGAATTCATAACGTTCAGCTGTGGAAACTAAAATGGGGTTATATCGACAACCTAAGACTACAACACGTCATTACCTTGGTGGAGTTCCTTAACAGATTGAAGGGCTCGAAAGCCTGCAACTGGGCGTACTCAACTATAAAGAACGTCTTCCAGGTCTCTTCCACTCCTGTCATATCCAAAATCCTCCCATTTATGCGCTTCAGTACCGGACTATATCCATCGGAGATGGAGCACCCGGTAACTCCCTTCATTAGTTCAAATTGGACGTTGGGCGGACATTGCTCGAAGGCGTGTTCGACGTGCTTCATCTCCGATTCGTAGATGCTTCCAGGATAAAGGATAGTGTAGGGATCCTGGCTGAGCTCCTCAAACTTCAATGGAGCATATTCCAGAAATGAATGAACCCACGAATTGAGCTCGCACTTGAGACGACCCTGCGAGATTCCGCCACGACAATGCCTTTCCAGGACACTGGGACTCGGTTCGGGATCGAGTATGGGTTCCATGGGATCCCTCAAACTCAACAACTCCGTCTGACCCACCTCCTGTATTAGATGGACATTCTGGGAGTTCAAGCGCAGGGCCGTCGCGTAGGCATCATTAAAAGATTCGCGATCTGTCAGTTTAAAATACATTATTATTGGATATCCGGAATTATCCAGAGCTTACTCAGTTTAAAGAGGGCCCTGGCCAGATCTCGATAGACCTGCCAGCGCGGGGCTCCCAGTAGATCGTAGAGACCACTGTACTTCGATAGGGTGTAGTGTTCGGCAGCCACTTTAAGCCACTTTGCTGCCCCCAGGTAATCGTGCTCCTCGTAGAGCTCCAACCCCATCTGATAGCAGTCCAGAGGGGAAAGGTGTAGGGAACTAAAAAGAACATAAACTAACTAACTGAATGTTATAGATCTTCATAACTTTTCACCTGTTTCGCTCATTTTTGGCCACCAGGGATGCGGGCTCGTAGCCGTAGAACTGAGTCAGGCTATGCACCTCCTTGGCGGCCTTCTTGAATGCTGACTTTTGGGGAAGCTGCGGCAGTAAGCGGTCGATCTGAGCCACCTGGTCGGGGCCCACCTTCTCCTCCATGTACACCTGCCAACTGACCCAATCCTGGTGCATGTGTCTGATCAATCGAAAGGCATTTAGCGGATTGGAGAGGTACTCCTCCGGATCCCTCTTGGCCTCATCTATGTCGTCAAAGTAATCTTCCAAAGAACTAAAGTAATAGAAAGATTGCTAAGTATTTGGCAAGAATACAATAGGTCCAAAACCCTACCTGTTTATTAGGCTGATCTTCTCCTCCAGCTTTTGAGCATACTCAAGCAGATTCTGTAGGAGATCGCGTTCCAAGTTAAGCAGTCCCCGAATCCGCTTCTCCTCGAGGGTCCTAACGATAGGGCAGACCAGGATGAGCAGTAGGATTGCTGACCAAAGTGACATGGCCATGATGTGGAGATGTTTTGGGGTAAACTAATCTTCTGGGGGACAACACCTGAGCAGGAACACAATGAATTCGACCGAGCCTAATATCTGTGACTAAATGTTTTCCTCCCAATCAAAAAGGCATGCATTATAAAATTTATTTCTAAATAGTGAGTTGTGTTTAGAAGTTAATTTTAATGTTTTAACATTTTTACTAAATTGAAACTGTTTCTTTTCAGAATGTATCAGTAACTCAAATGTTATAAACTTTATGTTGACAAATTTTATATATCAAAGTTTTGCAACGATTTAATCTAGTATTTTTTCCTGTACGAAGTGGGCCTTATCATCATTTCTACAAGGTTATATTCCGGCAGTCTCTGTTGTCCTCCAACTGGTTGGAATGGCATGTTATTGTTATAGGTATATTCCTGGATCAGTCTATAAAATCGATTGTAAAGGTATTAGTGTTTAGTTTGTTCTTAAATTATGTATTTATTACCCTGGGAGGACGTGATACCATTTATCACTCGAGTCTTGTTCAACGGTTTCAGATTGCGGTATCCGAATACCAAAACCTTGTTGTTTAGGGAAATGCTCTACCAAATAACCAGGTGGTTCTCTACGTCTGTTATTAGGATTTGCAGTTGGATAAACGGTTCTTTGTAAATTGGGATTAGGTGCAAAATTCGGAATTATCTTTGATATTACGAAAACACTTAAGGAGTCTACGGCTGTACCAGAGTAAGTTCCCACCGACTTTAGCTTATAGGATTCCTGCTGGCTACCAACTTTAAAGTCGTCGTAATGAGCGTAGCTAATGAGTCCCTCCCTCGATTCAAGTCTAACAAGACATTCGTGCTGTGTATAATTAGTCAACTTATGCAGTACCTCCAGCCCCAAGAAATAATCATTGCTGATAAGGCCAAATCCATTCCTATAATCCGTAAAAGAATGCTTAGTTTTCCGAGTTTGATAATAAATCTCTTGAATGGTCATCCAACCACTGGAATTGCACGGAGCTGCGAATGAATCTATCCCGCGTAGCCTTATGTTGTGTACTTTATTGGGGAGTCCTCTTGGGCAAATCTCTAATTCATTACACTTCTCAAGATCACGGGATATTCTGCGGATTCGATTTTCTTCTGACGAAATCTGAACATTCAGCCTATTTATTTCTTCTGTTTTCTTTGTTATCTTTTCTCTTTTGTCCTCTATTTCTATATCCTTAAATTTAATGAGGTCGTCCTTGGTTAGCAACTCTAATTTTTTTTGTTCTAGTTCCTTGTTCTGGTCCCTTAACAGGTCATCCTTGATTTTTAGTTGACCTTGAGCACCTAGTAACTCAGCTTGCAAAGTTTTCATGGTCCCTGCCATAACACTTAAATTGTCATTTAGCTTTCTTATCTGCTCCTTCTGCTGTGCGATTTGCTCCTCGTTCATCTTTATGATGCTGTCTTTGTGGTTGGATTGTTGGTTTATTTGGTTTATTTCATAATCTTTTGAAATTATTTTGTTTTGACAAATAGATTCTGCTAACGGACCCTGCAGTTCCTCTTTGATCTTCGTAATCTCTTCCTTTGATTTCAGGTTTACTTCAGCAATCGCCAACTTACTCTCCAACTCCCTAATGGTAGCAGACATGTTCCTAATATCGTTTTTTAGTTCATCGTTGGTATCAACTGCGGACTTCAGTTTCTCAAAGTGATCGAGCAAAGGCTTTAGGTTCGGCAAGCAATGTTCACAGGTCTTACAGTCGGGATTTCGGGATTGTGGCTGCGAGGTGCCATTATCTGCGGGAGATAGCTGCGCTAAGACCGAAATCGGCAGAAAAATAATCAAAAACCCAGATTTCATCTCGTTCACGACAAAAAGCATACTAAAGTCTTACTTGAAAGGTGGACTCTTATATAGCTATTCTGTCCCTCATTGTTTTCTGTGTGTGATATCACGCGCCCCGCAGAGTTCTTTGTTCTGCGTAGCCTTGGTGGTGCGACAATGCATTAGAGCGAGATGGTTATAGTGTATAACCGAGAAGGAGTTAGAACAACGCGAGTTGAGACGATATGAGTGTGTCGATCGCTGCACTATAAGAAATTTGACCACTTTTCTGGCCAACATTAAAATCTCAAGAACAAGGCAAGATATTTGGGATCTGTTTTTGATTTGAGTTCATATGGTCAATAGATAGATAGATAGATGCTAACTCAAAAACTAAGCAAGATATTTAGATTATTTTTTTCGATCAGATCAGATAAGATTTAAATCTAAATACTGCTTGTAAAGATAAACAGCAACAGCAGCATCTATTCAAATTTCTGTTATGGAACACTTAAAATTGATCTAATGTGAATGCAATTCAGTTAAAATTATTTTAATTTTTTAACCTTCAAAAAATGTTTTTTGTTAGAAAAGTCGGGTTTGAAAGCTGAAGCGACCAAGTCGTGTTAGCCAAAAAATAGATGTCGCAGCCACGGAAGCGCAAGGGCCGTTAAATTGATATGGAATCCATAGAGTAGAATACTCAAATTCCGACATATATATGCTCAACAATTGAAGAGCGCCACAGAAAGCAAGATTAACTTTTTCCGATTTCGTCGAAAGGAATTCTTATCTGGAATGTGTGCTTTATAATGTAACGGACTGCAACCATCAAAACAACTTTTCAGGCTGAGGTGTTACCTTAGGATCCGAGCGCACGCGAGGTATGTCCGGCTGGCTGCTTGTCGCCTGTTCCGTAGTCATTAATGATTACGGAATCTAATTTTCGCGTGCTAGACAAGCAAAAAAAATCGGTGTCGGATAGCCCCAACTAAACCGAAAGACATGTTTTGTGTTTCCCAGATACCCCGGCCGAGTCTCACTCTTACCTCTTTAGATGACCTAGAGGTTGTGCAGTGCCCACCCTACCAATGGTCGTTCCATTCCCCAGTGTCCCCCAAAGTCAGAACGACCCCAATCACGGCAAGCTACCCTATCTCGAAATCATCCCAGCTGCGGAAAAAGCTTTGGTTTTAAAACATTATAAATACTTTATTACACGCTAAGAAAAACAATGACGGATGCGAAAACATTTCTTAAAATTAAACGTACAAAGAAATAAAACTTATCATGTGCAAAAGGAACTTGAATAGCTGAGGGTTTTTTTGTTTCTAAATAAATTATTGAATTTTTCCAAAATACTTAGCCACGAAAAAGAAAAACTAGGAGATTTAAAAAAAATGTTCTCACTAAGTTGAAGAAAAAGACATCTAGAGAACTTTACGAATTTCCAAAGGCAAAGGGGTAGCAGATCGATTGCATAACTATTTTTCTCTGCCAGATTTTCGTGAAGCGTGCATTAACTATTCTTTAACCAAAATATTTTTTTTCACTTACCACCGCAATGCTGGAACATCCATCGATGAAGTCCGAGGCTATATTTAACTGATTTTAGAAAAAAAAAATATGAACTCACAATGAAAAGCCTACGAAGACAACCCAAGAACATAGAACAAAGTTTTCCAGACTCCGGTTAGGGGATGACTTCCACCGATTTCGATCGGGCGGTAACCCAAACCCCGGAGTATGAGGTGAAAACTAGATCCGAAAGAGCCTGACTTGCCTGACTTGCCCCTGTTACTCTCAGGAGCGCCGCCCCCGTGACTTGTAGTGACTAGTAGTTAGTTAGTTACAAAATTAAAATTGTTTCTATTTAAAATGTATAAGTAACTCAAATGCTATAAACTTTATGTTGACATATTTTATATATCAAAGTTTTGCCAGGGCTTAATCTAAGAATTTGTCCTGTACGAAGTGGGCCTTATCATCATTTCTACAAGGTTATATTCCCGCTGTCTCTGTTGACGTCCAAATCGGGGTTGGGATGGCATGTTATTGTCATTGTTATATTCCTGGATCAGTCTATAAAATCGATTGTAAAGGTATTAGTGTTTAGTTTGTTCTTAAATTATGCATTTATTACCCTGGGAGGACGTGATACCATTTATCACTCGAGTCTTGTTCAACGGTTTCAGATTGCTGTATCCACTTTCTTAAATCTATTTGATTAGGGAAATCTTCCAAATATCCTGGTGGTTCTCCACGTCTTTCATTACGATTTGCAGTTGGATAAACGGTTCTTTGTAAATTGGGATAAGGTGCAATTTTCGGACTAATCTTTGATATTACGAAAACACTTAAGGAGTCTACGGCTGTACCAGAGTAAGTTCCCACCGACTTTAGCTTATAGGATTCCTGCTGGCTACCAACTTTAAAGTCGTCGTAATGAGCGTAGCTAATGAGTCCCTCCCTCGATTCAAGTTTAACAATACATTCGTGATGTGTATAATTAGTCAACTTATGCAGTACCTCCAGCCCCAAGAAAAAATCATTGCTGATAAGGCCAAATCCATTCCTATAATCCGTAAAAGAATGCTTAGTTTTCCCAGTTTGATAATGATACTCTTGAATGGTCATCCAACCACTGGAATTGCACGGAGCTGCGAATGAATCTATCCCGCGTAGCATTATGTTGTGTACTTTATTGGGGAGTCCTCTTGGGCAAATCTCTAATTCATTACACTTCTCAAGAGCACAGGATATTTTTGTTATCGTTGCCAAATTATTATAGTTATCATTATTTATTCTGCGGATTAGATTTTTTTCTGACGAAATATCAGAATTCAGCTTATCTATTTCTTCTGTTTTTTTGAATATCTGTTCTCTTTTGTCCTCTATTTCTATATCCTTAAATTTAATGAGGTCGTCCTTGGTTAGCAACTCTAATTTTTTTTGTTCTAGTTCCTTATTCTTATCCCTTAACAGGTCATCCTTGATTTTTAGTTGACCTTGAGCACTTAGTAACTCAGCTTGCAAAGTTTTCATGTTCCCTGCCATAACACTTAAATTGTCATTTAGCTTTCTTAGCTGCTCCTTTTGCTCTGCGATTTGCTCCTCGTTCATCTTTATTATGCTGTCTTTGTGGTTGGATTGTTGGTTTATTTGGTTTATTTCATAATCTTTTGAAATTATTTTGTTTTGACAAATAGATTCTGCTAACTGACCCTGCAGTTCCTCTTTGATCTTCGTAATCTCTTCCTTTGATTTCAGGTTTACTTCAGCAATCGCCAACTTACTCTCCAACTCCCTAATGGTAGCAGACATGTTCCTAATATCGTTTTTTAGTTCATCGTTGGTATCAACTGCGGACTTCAGTTTCTCAAAGTGATCGAGCAAAGGCTTTAGGTCCGGCAAGCAATGTTCACAGGTCTGCGAGGTGCCATTATCTGCGAGAGATAGCTGCGCTAAGACCGAAATCGGCAGAAAAATGATCAAAAACCCAGATTTCATCTCGTTCACGACAAAAAGCAAACTGAAGGCCTTACTTGAGCGGTGAACGTGTATATACAACAATTGAAGAGCGCCACATAATGCTAGATTAACTTTTTCCGAATTCGACGAAAGGAACTCTTATCTGTAATGTGTGCTTTCTAATCTTTAAAAAAAGTGTCCCTGTAGTTCAAGGTCGCTAAACCAGATGCAAAATATATCGTGGACCTTTATCGAGACAAAAAAATTATTTCATAAGTTCTAATATAAGGTATAAACATATCCCAGCTGGGTAAGCTGTTCTGGTATAAATTGAATTACATATCCTTTACCTCCATTGAATTTTTAGTTTTAATATTTCCTAATTTTTTGTCCGACAGTTTACTTACCCAAGTCTTCTTCCCTACCGGAATTAGCGCCATGTTTAGTAGAGTTTTCCTCCTAAATAGTGTGGCCACAATTTCCACTAAAACCAAAAAAATTCATTATTATCGATAGTGGAGGCGAACATCGGGATTTCCATAGACCAAATTGCATCGCCTATCGACTCAAAATAAAATAGATCAATTGGAAATTTAATTTGAAAATACATTCTTTTACTGGCTATTTAACATTACTGTAAGATAATGACATTGAGTAAACGTTAAATTTGTAAAACAAACTACCATTACAGAGCAATGGAAGCGCCATTATTTTGCCGCGTCTGCATGGAGTATTGCGAAGACATGTTTATGAAAAACATATTTGAGCTAACGCCGGAATATAACTGTACCATCGCCGATATGATAGCTGAGTGTACCGGCTATATAGTTGAGAAAGGAGACCGTCTACCCGAAACCATTTGCTCTAATTGCCTGGAGAATGCGAAAAATGCATTCGAGATAAAGCGAACCAACATGGAGGCCACCAACACCACAAGATAAACGAGCGTCTGGAAGATGAACCATTTTCCATTTCCGACACAGACAGTCAAGATGATAATGAGGATTATTTGCCATCCGATGAGGCGTCAGCGGGTCTGCTCCGGATTATAATCCTCTAAAGGAAAAAATGGCAAAGGAGCATCGACACAAGTGCTCCTATTGTTCCAAGACCTTCCAAAGGGCCTGCCATTTTCAGAGACACCTGCGAATCCACACAAATGAACGACCCTACAAGTGTTATCAGTGTCCAAAGAGTTTCATTTGTTCTTCGAATCTTAATAACCACCTGCGAATTCACGCAGGAGTAAAGCCCTTCAAATGTGATCACTGCTCAAAAAGTTTTATACATAACGGCGCTCTTACGGTACACTTAAAGCGACACAGTGGGGAACGACCTTTCCAATGCACGCAATGCTCAAAATCCTTCTTCTTAAAAGAGCAGCTTAAGATACACATTCGAGTCCATACGGGAGAACGACCATACCAGTGCTCCCTTTGCCCTAAAATATTCGCCGCTTCAGCAGCCCTTAGTCGGCACATGCTAATCCACACTGGAGAACGACCTTATAAATGTTCTAAGTGCTCATCGAGTTTCAACCAGTCCTCAAGTCTGAATCGACACTTGAAAACCCACGACAAATGACTGTACTCTTAAGCCAATTGAAATACATTTTGAAAAGTATTTTATCCTGTCTCTTCTGTAAAGGTCCATCGCTTACTAGATATATACAAAAATAAATTTTAAGGAATATATTTCTGAAGAACTTGGATGTATTTCATGTGATTAGGCTATAATTATCGATACTACCGCTTAGGTGTTAGGGCAATCGATATATGGGAAACATCGATTCATCAGCTGTTCGAATAAATTTCGAGGATTTTCACCAGAGTGTTTTTCGAGTTTTAGGAAAAGTGCGAGTCGAACATAGCAGTGTCGTGGAAAAAAGAGTAATTACTGAATAACAATTATTAATTTAATAGTTGATATTAATAGCGAGTGTAATTGTGCCTATCTTGCTCTTTTCAATATTTCTGAATTTCTTCCTTCCGGTTAAAAACTAATAAATACAGGATCTGGGCGAAAGAATAAAGTAAACTTGAGTACAAACCAATAAGTGCCGAGTAAATACAGTGAAATCTCCTGAAAAGAACCAACATGTTGCTGCAGCGAAATAAGTAAAACTTTAATGCGGCTTTTCCCTATGTTTTGTGTGTTTTTCTTGTATAATTTAATTAGTGTCCCGCTGTTTGCGTGTCTGCCTCCCCTTTCATCACATTTTTTAGTTTTTCTCTTCCTTTTAATCAGTTTTTCCGTCTTTTTCCAGTGCCCGCGAAGATTATAGCCAGGTTATGGATTTCAATTACATGTTCTGTTTGTCTAACCAATTTTATTTTATCAATTGCGTGCTAACAAGAGCAAAAGCCTCACCCCTCTTTTTTTTTGTGCTGGAATTTGTGTTTGCATTTTATTTTTAGCCTCGCTTTTGTTGTTGTTTTAGCCGTTCTCGTTTTGGTTGCTTTATCCCCATCTGCCTCTCCACCTATACTTTGTTTTGCTCTCCACTTTCTGCGGCAGCTCTCTCTTGCCCACAGAAATAAAAATACTTATTCTTGTTATTGATATGGTTTAAGCTTTGTTTGAATAAAGTTGAAGTCTTTTACGTTTAGCATACTCTTAATTAGGTTCTAACGGAAAAAGAGAGGCACGCACTCTTAATTCCAGTTTGTTGTGGTTCGACCGCTCTGATGCTCACTTTCAAACACCTTGACTTATACAGGAAAAAATGATCTAGCAAATCGATTTGCATGCCAAGTCCTTGAAATAAAAGCTTATTAACTTTTATTACTGAAATATCCTTAAGGTTTCCCCATTATACGTACAGTTAGTTGGCCGATTTCACTCAAAACAGCAACAGCTGTTTCCCACCACCAAAACCTCATTCCAGCGATCTGGCAACGCCACACATCCATCGTTCTTTGCGCTCCACTTCGCCCACAGTCTTTCGCTTTTATTTATACGAAAAAGAAGTGTAAAAAGTGCCGTCGTACTGAGTTTTTTTTTATTGATTTCATTCCTATTCCGGATCCGATTCCGTGTTAATTGAAAGCGTTAATCAGTCGAGAAGCTCACATTTGGCCAGTCGTCCGCGGGTTGTGCTCTTATCAACACTTTTCGCGCGTGTTTTTCCTGCGAGAGTGAGTGTCTGCTGTTCATACATACATGGATACATATCACCACACATATGCTTTGCATTTCCATATCCCAAGGAGGTTATAATAGTGTCGGGCTTGTGTTCGATAAAAGATAAGATAAAAGTGACTGCAAATCCATCTAATTACTGATGAGTGACTTTCCTGAGCGATTTCACCCGTACTCACGTGCGCTGCGACTGAAACTAAGGCTCCTGCTCCACTTACTGTTCTTTGTTCCCCCTGAATTACTGTAAATAACCGCAACTAATTTGTGTGATAAAAAACTCACATGTCGCCAATTGAGCTAAATCCAATTTTTTTCCTGGTCGCAATCCAACAAAAACACTTCTGGTGGGGATAATTGCTTATCACACTCACTCAAAAGAATCACTCAATCGCGCGACTTGTTGCCCTTCGCATTTCGGAGTGGCATTTGGTATGTAACTGTTTGTTTAGAAGAAGGACATAGGGAGGATTTGATAACGGGATTCTTGAATTTAAGTTGCTTTCTTAGGGATTTCCAATAATGAATGAGTTTCGCTTTTATCGAATTTCTTGTTTGGATCTCACGAAAAGCTCTCTTTGAAAATGCCGATCTTTCAGTAAATAATCGGAAAGCTTTTGCATGTTTAGAATCTCAATAAATATTGTTAAATTGAAATACATATATTGGATTATTATATCATATTACGAAGAAAGAATTAATATCGTTGGAGTCGTAGCTTTAACTTTTTATTTAGAAAAACAAGCAGGAAGCGTAGAAAAGAGTTGATTAAATCTAAAACAACACGCCCCACGTTTCGGTCCCTAAAGTTGGAGTCACTAACCCATTTCCATGTCTTATCACTGATCCTATCGCCTGTCTGCGGCATCGAAGCTATTGGACTTCAGCTTCAGGCTGCCCCTTGTAAGTTGATTCAAATCGATTATAGACAGGTATGGCTTGGGAGGCACATTCACGGGCAAGGGAACTTCAATTGTGACAGCTGCTGATCTCTTGCTTTTGGAACCCCCGATTCCTCCGTGATCACTGCCCGTTTTCAGGGCTCCCAGGGCGAAGGGAGAATACTGGTCATGAGTGGGGTGTTGGGAGCAACTTGCGGTTGCAGCTCTCCTGTAGTTGCGATATCCACTGAAGCAACTGCTTCCGGGGGCTAACGGGCGAACGGGTGAGAATCCTCCTTCATCCGAAGATCCACCTCCTCCCCCCGAGTCATAGCATATGCTGAGGTTGGTGTAGGCAATGGGGGCGTGGCATCGAGGGGTTTTGGGTCGGGGCTTGACCTCGTATCGGGTTTTCGAGCGGGAGCGAGAGTGGTGGGCATGCCGGTTTCGCCCCCGCCGCTTGCTCCGCACCTCGGTCACTATCGGCATGGGCAGGATGTTGATGAAGCGGTAGTACTGCAGAAGGGTTCTGGCCAGATTCCTCCCAACGCGGTAATCTGGAAGGAAAAGGTTTTTAATAGGAACTCTACTGAGAAGTGGAATACATCCACTTACATCCATCTTCGTTGTACAGTGAGATGGTCTTGCCATCCTTGAGATAGTGACCCGCCATGGAGACTTCCAAAGTGTAGGCATTCACCGTGTCACTGAGTCGCTCGCAACTGAATCTCCGAATGCTTCCTGCCTTCCGTTCATCCGCATTGAACATCGTGTGCTCGGACACATAATCCGGAGCATTGCTGGCGAAGAGTCGCGGGAAAACCAGGTGCCTCTCGTATCTGTAAACATCCTCGTAGGTGTTGCCGTAAATAAAGCAACCGTGCATGCTGCTATTGGCATGCAGATCGATCACAAAGTCAATCTGATACGTCTGAAAGGAATTGAGTGAGTCCAACAAAGATGAAATTGTAAACATGAAATCTATCCGCTTGACGACTATACTCACGTCCGAATTATCTAACTCCTTTAGCATGCCCTTCACAGCATGCAATTCCGGCTGAGTGAACTCGGATCCAATGTGCCAGTTGCGATTCATGTCCTGGCCCATCAGATTGCAGCGATTGTTGCCCAGGAACACCCCATCTGGATTCACCATGGGCACAATCTTGAAGACAAAGTTATCCCTCAAAACCACGGCTATGGGGTGGTTGCCCACCAGGAATTCGATTAGACCCTGGCACACATGGGAGGCTGGAGCTTCGCTGGAGTGCGTCCTGCAGAGGATCACAATCACACGGATGAAGCTGCGATCCAAGCGATTTGTCGAGCGTTGCTTGGCGGTCACATGGTCAATGGTCAGCAGGTCCACATTGCGATTTTGCTGAAATAGTAGCATAGATGTCCATGAAAAACCCTCAAATAGAGATTATCTAAGGACTCACCAAGGATTTAATAAGCACACATCGGGTGAACCGCTTCTCCGCTCCTTGCCGGGCATCAATCACATTCAAATAGGACTGAAGACGCGAATAGCTATATGGCCAGGCCAAAGCAAACTGGTAGACATCCTCCTCTTTGTCGAAAATAAAGGCGAAACTCAAAACATAATGCCCCTGGTGCATGGCCGATCGGTAAAAGAACACCTGCCGCTTTGATAACCTCTGCCACTTGGGTCGACTGGAACTCTTAACCAAAGGGGTCAGCCCCGAGGAGAACAGGTTTCTGCTCTTACTGATGTTCACTATGTGGAAGAGCACTCGCTGATCCTGCTTCACATTATCCACAGTGAAGTTGAACCAGAAGCGAAAGCGCGGATTGCAGGTATCCGGTCTGAGGAACAAGTCGTACTCAAACTCGCCCACCAGCTCCGCTTTTCCCAGATTTCCCGTTTCGAAAGCGGCATCGAAACAGAGGTGACCTCTCTTTGCCTTGCCACTTTGACCCGGCGGACGAATGATAACCCGGGAAACGTTGCCCAGACCACCTTCTCCATCGCTGTCTTCGCTATCTGTAAATGAGTTATCATAAAAAGAGGATTATATAAGTAAAACTCTGCTTAACATTATGCTATCCCCTCCTAAACTCAGACAACGATCGGAATATTATTTAATTGATAAGAATCAAGAGCTAAGCTGAAACAAATTTGCTCTTGATCTTAGCCTTTGGAATCTAAGACGACTGTCAATCCAAGTTGGATTACTTAGTTTCTTATCTGTTTGTGAAATTTGTGCCTGATCACGTTTAGTACCATCTGAGCCGCGTTCGTACATGCTCGTATGCTGAAGCGGATCGCAGGCAATTCCCAACATGGTGACTCTGGCTCCGCTGATGCGTGTTTCTCTGGCAAAAATCTATGTTCTTCTAATGCAACAGAGCCGAGTGGAGTGGCCCTAATCCTCCGAGGGTTTTCCTTAGCCTGGCCTGTCATAACTTTCTTGGTCGGAGGACACCTCCTTCTAATCCCACCCATGCGCTATCTTTAAATCAAGGCATCCTCATCCCGCCATTCTGTTCCTTGTGCCACATATGCGTGCCGCAAGTTTTCATTGCACTCGTTGCACCTGCCAACGCCTTTGGCTGAGCCTCGAGCAACTCGAGACGTCAAATGTCTAAAATTGAATAGTCGCCTCGTGGTTGCGTCGGCCTCCAAACCCAGACCCGACCCGAGCACTTCCTGAGTTGAAAGCCGGAGGTGAATGTCTCGAGTCTTGAAAGGTCTTAAAATAGCTTCATTTGTACTCTAACTGGGGGTGTTTACATTTTCTGAGGGATGAGCAAAAATGCATTTCAATACAACCTTATATTTTGGTTTTTCATGGACAATTTATATTATTGGATTAATCTCTAAGAACTTTCTGTTGGTTATTCTTTTATTCTCCACCTCTACCATGTATAGATTCCACTTGAATATTTTTCTAACACCTTCACTTTCTTAGTGTATTTAAGCTTCGTTTCACTTGGGTATTTCCCCATACCTCCTTATCGCTGGTGCACATTTATGGCCATTTCGCTCACCTGAGTCGCCCATTCCTCCGCCTCAACCCATAAACTTCCCTTTGCTTTGAGGCTGCTTTCCTTGGGCAGGATCGAAAATAGAAATTCAATTAGCCAACGCCTCTTGGGCTTTCACTTTTCTCGAGTGGAGCTCCCAAGACGTGGAAGTCGCGTGCGAAGTCTTGGCGCTGGAGGTCGATCTCTATCTGCTAATCCTGGGCAGCTCCTGGTCGCTCCTCGCCGCTTCCTCCGCACCGCACTGACTGCCTTGGAATCCGGAATCGGGGCTGCGGAATCCGGAACTGTGATTCGCATGTTGGCACTTTGACGTTGCCACGCCACTCACGTGTGTCGCCTTCTGTTTGGTCGATAATTCGCAGTAGTTTCCGGCTAGGGGTTTCGGTTCGCCTGTGGTTTTGGGTTCCTTCGCATCGAGAGCAGTTTCCAGAACTGGGCAACCGAGAAGAGAGGCAGGACTAATTGCGTTCACCAAAAAGCTGAATCTATTTAGTTCACTGGGGCTAATCGATACGGTCGCACATCGCAACGTGGGAACCGTAACTACTGCGTGTGTGTTACTTTAACGATTACGGCAGTGAATGAACCCGACAACACCCCATTCGCTTAACCCTAACCCCTAACCCCTAAACCCAGAACCCAAGACAGCATGTCCAAACGCAGGTAGCTTTCCATTAACCCAACTTAATGTCTGGTTTTGGTTTTGTTTCGCTTTTTATTGATAAAAACTCGTATTGATTCCTGTACTCTCTTACAGACTAGGCAGCGTCCGCCCACCGAAGCGTTGCAGGAGCGACATGGACAATACCTCCACCTCGGACATTGTCATCATCAATGGCAACTCACATCCGGATCTGGCCAACATGGTGGCCGAGCGCATGGGCATCAAGAATGGCGGCTGCTCCGTGTTTCACAAGTCCAACAGGGAGACCATTGTAGAGATCAGTGATTCAGTTAGAGGCAAGGACATCTATATCATACAAACGGGCACTAAGTGAGTCTGGACGTAGTCATGCGTGTCTTTATATTAATTGTCTTCTCATTACCACGAAAGGGATGCCAACAACAACATCATGGAGCTGCTGATCATGGCCTATGCCTGCAAGACTTCCTCGGCCCGCTCTATTGTGGGAGTGATCCCATACTTGCCGTATTCCAAGCAGTGCAAGATGCGCAAGCGCGGGTGCATTGTGTCCAAGCTGCTGGCCAAGATGATGTGCACCTCGGGCCTAACACACATCATCACTATGGATCTGCACCAGAAGGAGATCCAGGGCTTCTTCGATATACCCGTGGACAATCTGAGGGCATCGCCCTTTCTACTCCAATATATTCAGGAGAGCGTGAGTTTTTTTGCACTGTAAACTTGGAATGGAACTAAACGTGTTGATTTCTCCAGATTCCTGACTACCGCAACTCCGTGATTGTGGCCCGCAATCCGGGCGTGGCCAAGAAGGCCAACTCCTATGCCGAGCGACTGCGTCTTGGCCTGGCCGTCATCCATGGCGAACAGAAGGAGACTGATGCCGATGAGGTCGACGGTCGGTACTCCCCTCCCCCGACCAGGTGAGTTGCATTCCCTCAGTCTCAAAAGTGGGCCTCGCTGATCCCCAAGTTAGTTGTCAGGTTTCTGTTTGATTTGTTAGCTGTTTTATTTTGATTTGCTCTTAGCTTTGCTGGTTAGTTTCTGTGTTTATAATGCTTTCTTTAAACACCGAAGTGTCCCTCATGTCTTGTAACCTGTACTCGGCCTTAGACTGTTCCGTTGAATATCCTCCATCACACACCAAACAGTGCAAGTAACATTTCTGTGATTTATCATACCTATGCATATAGCACTAAATCTAAATAGACGGGAATGAATCAGCCATTCATTTTCTAATGTTTACAATTTGAAATTGTATTTTATCTTATCAGATTTATACCTTTCTCAATCTAATGCTGATTAAAATAATCTTAGAGAACATCACTAAATCACTAATTTTGACAAGCATTCTTTTTTATGCATCTTTTATTAGTTATTACCATGAACTTAAAGAAACTCAAACTGTTTAAGTCTGAGTAAAGCATTTACTACTACTTTAAGTTCGTAACTTCATTTGCACGGATCCATTAGATCACAATCGCTATACCATAATTGTTGCAGCTTTTGTCAGTGGCTTCAGTTTGTACTTCACAGCCAAGGCAGACACCAGCTTAGTAGATTTTTGAGTAATGTAAGCCAGTTCTTATTTTCCTGCTTCATTGACGTTCAAACTGTTTTCGTATTTTGCGTTTTTGGAAGTTTTATTTTAATTTTTGACTCCGCACGTGCCGCAAAACCCTCGGCACCTTTTGGCGGGCATAGGGAGTATTTCTCTTGTCAAAATTTCAAATTCAGAAAACAGAAAAACAATCGAAATTTATCTTTATTTGTGTTATGCAGTGCGTATAGCAATTTATTAGGAAATTCAGTTGAAATGTGCTTACCAGCGACGCCTAGGTTCGTATTTTTAACTATTGTTTCATTTCAGTTCAATTATAATTTTTAATCAACTGCCATTTGTACTTTTCCCCACCCACCACGACACACCACCAACCCCCGACCCACCCACACGATTTCTTTCTTTTTTGGTTACGATTACGATCCGACCATCCAATGAAACGCACCACAACCACCACCACCTCGACAAAACCAATCCACAATGTACCACAATGCACCACATTGCACCACTCGAACTGCAAACCTCGTGAAACTGCCGCACACTAACCACTAGAAACTCTACTCCACAACACGCCCCATCCAGCAGCAACCGCCAGAGAACCACCTCGGTGTCGGTGGGTGTTCCGGAGCACATTGTCAAGGTCAAGCCCCCACTGACCATTGTGGGAGATGTCAGCGGACGCATCGCCATTATGGTGGTAAGTATTGTCTTTTCATTCCTAATAATAAAAACTTCCATTAATTGCTATAAATTGACTCTTCCAGGATGACCTGATTGACGATGTCCAGGCCTTTGTGGCCGCCGCTGAGATGCTGAAGGAGAACGGAGCCTGCAAGATCTACGTGCTGGCCACGCACGGTCTGCTTAGCTCAGATGCACCGCGTCAGCTGGAAGAGTCGCCCATCGATGAGGTGGGACTTGTAGTTATTGAGACAATCTTAAGTCAATCTGAATATATTTTTAATCACTATGCAGATCGTTGTCACCAATACCATTCCACACGAGATCCAGAAGCTGCAGTGCCACAAGATCAAGACGATCGACATATCCATTCTGATTGCTGAGGCCATTCGCCGCATCCATAACAAGGAATCCATGTCCTATCTGTTCCGCAACGTAACGCTGGAGGATTAGGGAACCCACCCACTCATACTACCACTCACAAGTCACAAAAATAGTGTTGCCTCCGGCTGATCCTGGGCCGGTTATTGTTTGTTTTTCGCTTTTAGACATCATTGGAAAGTGCGCTCAGCGTGCGTTTGCTCAAATAAAAATGAATGATCCGAGATACTGTAGCACACCTTTAGGCCCCACATATACTCCACACTGTATACACTGTACTACACGTTGTACGTTCATCGAAGGCTAACCACTTTCTGCTAGTTCTTAAGTCAAAGGTCCCAAAACTTTGTCCAAATAAAAGCTGATTGTACTCAATTTTGGAAAGTTTGGGGCATCATAAAGGCGCTATAGGGCACTTGAAGTCTGTCCGAATTTATGGCACTCGTTGAAATGAAAACCTGTTAAGTAGCCCGTCCAAGCCGTAAATCATTATCAAGCAGACACGGCGATTGCAGCCTTAAATGGGTCCGTTCTGCATTCTGCCTTAGCCCGGTAAGCAAATAAAGTACCAAACAGATGTCTCGCATCGCTCTTATTTGACAAATATTGTTGCGGAAACGAGTGCAGCGGCGATAAGATAGCGCATTCATCTCCGAGGAGTTCCTCGTGACAAGAAAACCGGAGAATCCCGCTTAGGCAAGTGGCTCATACATAAATCATGGTCCATTAATCAAGCATCAGATATGTCAGTCCCTATCTTACGGCACCTCAAAGGCGGTAAATTTGCATTGCTAAATGACAGGGGGTTGGCTGAAGAATGCGGTTCCAGCAGTGACGAGATCCCACGGAATGGGAATGGATTCATAAACCCAATATTTGGGCCGGCCCAATGGCGTATATTTGCGAGGTCTCTGCCTAGGCCAAGTGCGATAAACTCGGCACTGTTTGCCCGCCAGAAAGCCAAACAGAAACTGTGCTCCAATCTTCGGCGTGACACTTGCTGCCTTTTTATCGCAAACAAAAACATCGTAAAGTCCAAGATAATCCCACAAATCTCGGTGCTCAGGCACTTGCTGGATTTAAATTCAAATTGAATAGAGTGGCATCTGATATGCAAATCAAGCCCTACGCCGAGATCGACGGGGTATCTCGTTCCCGTTCGAATTCCCAGACACCAGCAACGAGTCACGTGAAGCAGCCGTATTGCGCATACGCCGTGTTAGCCCTGCTTGTTTTACTCTGTCGTGCATTGAACCGACTTCCGTCAGGGGCTTATGCCCATGCCACCTATTAACAGTCCATCACATTTTACTTTTAATAGAGCCTGTCGGCCGCTTTGTTCTATCATTCCCGTGGCGTTCCAATTGCAATGGCAATTGTTGTCTTTTGACTCTGTTTGTTGTTTCCGCTTTTGGCCCTCTTGTTTGCCTTTTTGTTTATCACTACGAAATTGATTTGTTAATTTGCCCAGCTTGTCGACGAGTCATTAGCACGACACTTCGGGCCCATAAATTGATTGGCCCGGACGCTGGCGGTTAGCACCTAGCAATTGTCTAAAATATAATGGGCCATAATCTGGACAGCACGCTCCAGTGCACCCGTGCTCCCGAGTGGGTGTCAGCCCCTAATGCTTATTAGCTTCCCGAGGGGCAAACGATATCTGCCAGATACCCCGATGATTTGCGTTTTGTCTGGCAGAACGGATCAATTTGAATAGAGCGGCAACAACAATCTGGTCACACGACCTGGCCGATTCGGAATGACCACTTGATGATTCGGAATATGCTTTACATTTAAATAAGCTTTGTTAGGGTTACTCTGTGCGCTCCAATTCGAATTTATTGAAAGTAGTTTCGTTTCAGTATGGCTTTTGAAATTCAGTTATTAAACTGAAATTAGTTTATCTAGCCTCTCCTTAGATGAGATGCCTTCTCGTTGGTGCAAATGAATGAAAATCAAACATTGCATATCACGAACGTGCAACTCGTCGAACATCATTATTGATAAATATTATCATTATGGATTTTATGTTCATTGACAACATTTGATTACCAACTATTTTGGGTCCTCCTCCCTTATGAGCTACAGTTGAGAAACTTTCGCCGTAGCTCCTGAGTACCCCTCACGAGTGGCTGTTATGGATAAAAATATACGACTGCCAGGTGCTTATGTGTTTTGCCCGTTTTTTGTGTAGCGATATATCTACGTTTTGTTTTCTTCTGACTCGGTCATGTGACCAAATTAAATCAGTTTCGTTGCCACTGCGGTTGATGCCGTGATAAAAAAAACAGGCTACGCCTCTTCTTTCACTCCCCCTACATTCTCACCGGATCAAAGCGGATCGGGTCACGTGAGAGGTTGGAGCCACTTTGGAAATGATGTCGCATTATGGCGGGGATCCCAGCAGCAATCCCGGTCTTCGGCCGCTATTGAACTTGGTCCGTGACACGGTTTTCGCCAGCTTCCTTAAGCTGAAATTCTCAAAAAGCTGGACAGGCTGACCTCAGACGACATCGTAAATTCAGACCGATCATGAATTCGGATACCCGATCGACGGGTTTGAGTCACGTGAAGCCTTACGGCGGGTACTTTACACGCCTCAATGCAGTCCGCTGCACAGTGGAGGCGGGTGGTGGAACCAGGTGGTTCCGGGGCCGGGACAGGCGTTGGGAGGCGGCTGATCGGCTTGCGTAATGTTTGGGATCTTATACAATTAACTGAATGCACAATTAACAATTTTATTTGAGCGGTGATTGTCATTCATTGCAATTGTTTGAGCTCAACTTTAACTTTGTTTACCCGCCCGTCGGTGCAGTTTCAGATACAAAGATAGCGATGCACCGGGGGAAATAGCTATGCAAATTCGGATTTATTTATTACTCTTTCATGGGCAATATATTAAAGTTGAATAATTAAACAGTTGTGGGATGCTTAGGTGGACTTTTAATTGTACAAATGGGAAATTAGTATAGATTCTTATTGCTAATAACGACTACATTGTAGGTCCATACAAAGTAAACCTCATTATATTTAAGAATCTTGAAAGTCCCAGCAGGAACTCTTTCTTAGACGGTTTTTCTCTGTGTACGCTTACAGTTAGTCTACGTGTTGTCCATGTTTTATGGCGAGCCACAGGCAGTGCATACAAATGGACAAGCCTTTCCGGCATGTGACCCTCAAGGAGAGATGAGCTCCCTTATCAAAATACCAGCACACCTTGAGATTTCTCCGGCCAGATAACTGCCGAAATTCGGCCATGCTCAAGGGCCGCCAAAACATATATAATCTCACCTTAAGTAGGCCGCCCACGCGCACAGAAGATTTATGCTGTATGCCGTCCAAAGACCCAAGAAGAGGCCCCTCCAGCGCCGGAATCTACTTGTTTTTCGAGATGATAGAAGAGAAAACAACGGGAGACAGCTTAACGATAAGCAGACAATTATCCGCACGCCAGCGAAATTAAAAGCAAATTAATTTACTCAAAATTATAATTGACTCGCTGGCGGGCTAGCTATGCACATTTAATTGTTGTCTAATGCGACTGCCCACCGCTCCCCTTTGGGGGTTAACGCTGCGTATGAGTAATGCAAATTGACCACACAAGTGTTACATATCCACCTGCGACACATAATGGCCAACCAATCACCTGGACAAGTCAGCGACCTATAAATATTCATAACAATCGCCGCGAAAGTATCCCAGTAATGTCGATCGCACTAAGATCAATTGTTACGGCGATCGGAGTACGATTGTGGTCGCAGAAATATCTCCCGAATATCTATCAAGTCGAATCTTTAAGCTTATTGGGTGTGCTTTCTTTGATGGTTCAGCTAAACAGCATCATGGGATATATCATAAATTTCATCATTAATTAATAGTCAATGGGCAATTTAAATTTAATTGTAACCGCTTAAATGCTTAATATCTGAGTCCAAATTGCTTATTACCTCATTTTTAATTATCTTTTATTCAGCCGAATTTCATTAGGCTTCAGTCTGGTTGAATCGTTTTAGAAATGACAAATCGAAATTCGAAAAATAGATCACTGCCCTACTATTTGCACCTGAACTGTCGTATATAGATGGGAACTCAAGAAAGGTGACAGAGAAAAGAGAAGGTACAGCAGATTTGCCCTGTGAAATTCCCAGGAGAAGGGCACCCAGTCTTCGGCCTTCGAATAAAAGTTGTTTGATTTTCATCAGTTTGGATCGTAGTTCGTAGCTTATTCGTTTTCGATTCTGCGCCATCGATCAGGCCCTCGGCGCGTGTTTGCCATTTGGGGAGAAGACTGTGCTTGGCAGTGACTAGATCGGTGATTAATAGCCAACCAGGCTTAGAGCCACAATTTTGGAGGGCTTCCAGACTGACCCAGACGCAAGTGGCATGCAGCCAGAGCGTGCCGTCGAGGAAAACCCAGAGAAAAAATCCCCACCTTTGGATTCCCCAAGTTTCGGATTCTGCAGAAAAGCTCTTCGAATGCAAATGGATTGATGTCGACTGAATGAGGTCCAAAACCAGAAGACTCTGGCTAGTAAAACCAGTCCAGAAACAAGGCACTTTTAAGGGGTTTTCCACCAGCCGAGGTACGGCGAATTTAAATTACAGACAGACATAATTGTTAGATGATTTATTCGATCAGCAGCTGATGGACAGATTGACAGGCCAACCGGTTCGAAGTGATGCCAAAAAAGTCAATGTCTCAATGTCTACTCAGGGCGGAGTGGAACTCTCGAGTCCCGGCGAATTCCGGCCATTATCTCGGCCGTATACTTGATTTATGGAGCGCACTCTTCCAACTGATTTATATGCGCCGTGTTCCTACGGCTGATTGATTTCCCGTGTCGACAAACGCTGGACTTCAGTAGCACGCGATTGTCGGGGCCATAAAGATAGGGCGTTCAAAATTTGGGCAACTTTTATGGAAATTTTGGGAGAGCAAAAAAGTTACCTTTAAATCACTTTGATATCCTCCCATCCAAGACGATTTATACATTTCCATTTCATATTAATATTCATTCGATTGGTTTATTGCAAGTGCTAAAAAGCCTGAGAAATTTGCAAATCCCATGGGAAGATCGAAACAGAGCAAAAAACCTTTTAGGCTTGGCCTCCATCGGTTAACAAGAAACCCGGGGTGTGAAAATCCGACCAATTAGCATGCAATAAAATACATTTCTCGAATCGTAATGTTGCATCGGATTGTGGTTCCCATAGTCGGTGCCAGCACGTGCGGAAAAATCACAACAAAGACTGTTGATTTTCCAAAGTAAACAAACAGCTGAAGGGGCAACATGACTTGGAAATACCCTAAACTTGAAAATTATATGTTGCGACGAAGAATATGACTTAAATTATTTCAGCTTATTATGAAAGATAATATATTTGGTTTATTCTTAAGGTGTTAGGTTGATTTATTTCCATCAAAGGGTTACTGCTAGCCAGATTCGCGTCTTCGCTATTGGCAGACTGACTGACTTAACTAGCTTTCATGGGAACATTCAATCATACATAACAAACAAAAAAGCGTGAAATACCCTGTAATTATATGCAATAAAACCTAATTGCCCAAGAAGCCTAAAGATATTGTTGATAATGGGATTAGAGTGAAAATAAGTGAAGATTTCCTAATTAAATCCAGAATTTCCGAACGTTTACGTTTATATAGAAAGCAATGACAATCTCTTCAATAATTAACTTTGTTATAAGTTTTAAGTTTAAAGATAAAAATAAAGTTTGATATCTATACAGAATCAGCTTATAAATGGCGACAGTTCCCTTAGTACACACACGAGTATGTACCTAAATCTAAAAACAACTCCCATTAGTGGAAGTCGCAGTTTTATCTGCCCCCATAAACCTCCCACGAGGTGTTGTCTTACCTGCTGGGTCTGTCCCATGTTCCTGCCTCTTGTTGGCCAACCGATGGGCTGCGTCATTTCCATTTCTTTGGGTGGTTACACGACCTGCCCGCCCAGATGAAAAGCCCCCGATCGCTAGAGAGCCGGTTTCGATCGAGAGCGGGAGAATTGGCTGGGAAGATTTAGTGAGGCCTCAAGAGAAGAGAGGTGGAGAATCGGATGTGAGGATTTCTCAGGTCTCCGGTCTCCGGTCTCGAAAGTAGAGAGTAGAGAGCAGAGAGGAGAGAGGTGGAGATAACATAACGAAAGCCGGCGGATAGTCTCGAATGCGCTGCCAGCGTTTTGCGAGCGATGCCTATTTACTATATAATCGGTTACCAACAGGCGGGCGGCTGTTAGTGCTGCTCTTTCCGCGGCTTCAAATCATTCCCGCAGTGGATGGCCACGCGATCGGTTCGGTTTTTGGTATCAGAGATCAGAGTATCGGTTTCCCGGAGATTCAGTGTCAGTGTCGTCGCCGTTCCAGTGAGAGTGCCATGAAGCCTTAGAAACTAAGGAAATCCCACGACTAAACAATAAATCCACAGACACAGTTTAATAAAATAAATTAACTAAAAATGAGCCAGCGCAGTGACAACGGCCACACGAACAGTGGTTTTAATGGCGGCTCTGAGGTGTCCTTGGACATACCCACCAATACCCTGTATCACACCTCCAGGGACTGCATTGTTCAGGAGGAACAGGGTCCCAATGAGAGCTGCCTGGAGGGCACCCAAGGCTGCTGCTCTAATCTCTGGTCGAATATCTTCAGGAAGAAAACCCTGTACAAGCGTTTCCCCATTCTGGTGTGGCTGCCCCAGTACAAAAAGGATTATATATTCGGCGATATAGTGGCGGGCATATCGGTGGCCTTGACTGTGATTCCCCAGGCCTTGGCCTACGCTGGCATTGCAGGACTAGATCTGCAGTATGGCCTGTATGCCTGCTTCCTTGGCTGCTTCATATACATATTCATTGGATCCAGCAAGGATGTGCCCATAGGACCCACGGCCATATCAGCTCTGTTGTCCTTTCAAATAGCCGGAGGCAGTTGGCAAATGGCCACCTTGCTGACCTTTCTCACAGGACTCATTGAGATCCTGATGGGAGTCTTTCGGCTGGGATTCCTCATTGACTTCGTATCCGGACCAGTGGGAGCTGGTTTCACCAGTGCCGTGTCCTTGATCATCTTCAGTTCCCAGATGAAGGACTTTTTGGGCATCAAAACCAGTGGAAATACCTTCCTGCAAGTGTGGATCAGTATTGTGAATGACATCCACAACATCAGCTGGCCGGACTTCATCCTGGGACTCATCTGCATCACTCTGTTGCTGAGCCTGAGAGCGCTAGCCAGCTGCTCGTTGGGTCCCAAGGAGGGGAAAACCACCACCCAAAAACTTCTTACTGGCATTTTCTGGACCATTGGAACTGCTCGAAATGCCCTGTTGGTTTGTGGAACTGCTGGCCTCGGCTACTGGCTGTTTGTTAATGGAAACGAGGATCTGGTGAGGACCGTTGGGTTTGTGCCCAAGGGATTGCCCTCCTTCCAGCCCCCTCCTTTTCACATGGATGCCGTTATCAATGGAACTACCGGAGAGGTCCTTCAAGAGGAGCAGAGCTTCTGGGACATGGTCAGTACCCTTGGATCCGGCCTCATTGTGGTTCCCCTAATCGCTCTCTTGGAAACCATGGCCGTTGTTCAAGCCTTCGGTGAGTTATTCACAAATTTTCACAAAATTGCGGTTTTGATCTCCTTCCTCCCCAACAGTTCAAGAATCTAAAAATTTCGAGTAGGAAATGAATCACCAGTAATTAGTTTTCATTAAAAGCTTGTTTTTAAATCAGAGTGACGAAAGCAACGAGTTTTTCTGCCAACTTTTAACGGCTTGTGCGAATTTGTTTTAAAATGTTTACTTAATTGATTTAAAAATAGGCGTGTGCTCTTAAGAATCAAATTTAATTCGTTTACGACTGAAAATCAAAGCATTTCCTTATTTTTAATTATGGACTTATAAGTTGATTTCTTTTCTACATTTGAATTTTAACTTATAAATCGTTTCTATTCTCAGCTAATTTATTGCAGTAAATAAGTTGACCCCAAGAACCCAGCACATTAATTAATATTAATAATAAATGACAGCAGTCACACTTTCGGAATTAAGATGCACAGTTTATATGATAGCTTCTGATCACACGATGCGATTTGGGTGTTTCCTCATTCAAATTTGAGTCATTCTGAGTTTGGGGAAGAACATATCTTAAACATATATACTTTGAGTGAATTACAATTTGTCCCTCGTTTGTTTTTCCCCTTCAGCTGATGGAAAACCCACGGACGCCACTCAGGAGTTGATAGCCTCGGGCATTTGCAATGTGGCCAACTCCTTTGTCCAGGGTCTGCGGAGCAATGGAGGGATCGCCAGGGGAGCCATCCTCAATGCCAGTGGAGTGAGGACCCAGCTGTCCAACCTGTACACCAGTGTGATCGTGATCATCGCGCTGCTCTATCTCACGCCCTGCTTTTATTACATTCCTAAGGCGGCACTGGCCTCTATTATTATTGCGGCGGTGATCTTCATGGTCCAGTACCGAGTCATCAAGCCCATGTGGCACAGTAAAAGTGAGTTAAAAATAGATTGATTTATAAAAAGAAGTTGCTTGATAGATGTATGATTCTCCTGCCAACAGAAACCGATCTCATTCCCGGCCTTGGAGCCTTCTTTGCCTGTCTGGTTCTGCCCCTGCAATTGGGCATCCTTGTGGGCATCGGCATCAATGTCGTCTTCATTCTCTACCAGGCAGCCAGGCCAAAGCTGCGCATCGAAACTCTGGCGGTGAGTCATCTATATGAAGATAAGACGCTCTATAGTATGGTGTTCTAAATTATCTCAAGAATAATTTCGTTGCCTAAAAGTATGCAATGAATCTTTAAATTTTGGTTCTCAGTAGAGGTTTTGGATTAGATTTATGTTATAGTAGTAGTATATGCTTTGATATTCATATAAACCTTCTCTTTATAGACAACTTCTGGCCTGAAGTACCTCATGCTCACCCCTGATCGCTGCCTCATCTTCCCTTCGATGGAGTTTGTGCGCAAGGTTATCAACAAGCAGGGTCAGAAGTCCACCCTGCCAGTGGTCATCGACTGCACCCACATCTATGGAGCAGATTTCACGGCCGCCAAGGTCATATCCACCATGGTGATGGACTTCAAGCAGCGGGAGCAGCCTTTGTTCTTCTACAATCTGCAGCCCAGAGTGGCGCAGGTCTTTGAGGGACTTAACAAGGATCTGGTGGTCATATACGACATCACCACCCTGCACGCCAAGCTGGCGGAGAAGTCGCCGATCTGAGGGAGCCAAAGAAATCCGAGGGAGATCAACGCTGCAACCTCGTCAAGCGATAGTCTTAGTCAAATCTCGCTCTAAGTCTGTGTATTAGCCTAGTCTACGTCTTAGTACTAGCTTAGTCTTGCCCGCCGAGGCCGAGGCCGAGCGGCCAAACGTGGCCTGCCCACGCTCATCGCCTTAGTTGAAGGCACCATTCCATGGGGCTAGCCTAGCTCACCTTAATTAGCAGTTAAGTTGCGGCAATCTTCCACATTTCGCAGATGTCTGCACAATATTATTTATTTGGCCTCTGGTGAAACGCTGTGAACTTCGCTGAGCGAAGATGCAGAGTCAGAGTTCCTCCCACCCGCGATTTTGCCGCTGAGCATAGTATTATTTACGGATAGCGATCGAAGAGGTTTAGCATAAGTACTTAAATAAATCGAGTAAATATAACATAGCCAACTGGCCTATACTGTTTTGTTCATAAGGTTATGAATGAGGAATTATAGCACTTATTTTCACTTTATATTTCATCAGAAAGGCTCTACAAACATTGCTTTAACTGTGTTGATTTCAACAGGAATTAGATATTTGAATTTTGTACCACAAGGTATTGGGGTGTTGCCAACTTGTCACTTTATCTTATGGCCACCTGGCTTGGGTATTTGCAAAATCTTATTTGATAGAATTATGGTTGGCTATTTTTTGAATCCCGATTGCCCACTCATCTAGATTAAATATCTAATCAATTTATGTCAAGATTTCGAACTGCCTTCGAATTTGATTTAATTTGGCGCTTCGTGTGGGCAGTAAATCTTTGGCTCGAAAGCATCAATAATTTTCGAGCTCAAAATATGGGTTATCTAAATGTTTGGCAGACTATAGTATGGATACAGCTTCAATTCTTTATTTATATTTTAAAATATTGTTTTTGTTTCAAGTTCATAAGCTTTAGCCGGTTCAAGAACCCCTTCACTTATCTGTAGAATCAAGTTCCCAGCCCTTGTTTGTCAAACGTTTTCCAGCACTGAATAAAAACTGTTGTCTCATCGCCCGCTTCAGTTCGTTTGAAAAATAAACAAAATTCTTTTACAAATCCGATATTCGTTAAAGGCAAAAAATAAGAAGATAACATTCTAGTTATTTTAAGTACTGACTAGAATATAACCCTCTTAAAAACTGTGCCAGATGAATATCGATGTGGGAGTCCCTGAGGATGAAGAAGGACCCGGCTTCCGTTCATACTTTACGCAGAAAATATCCGAGCTGCAGTTTACTGTTAACGAACGCCAGAAGAACTTGCTCCGTTTGCAGGCCCAAAGGAATGAGCTGAACTCCAAGGGTAATCTATGCAGTCTATAAAGTAGAAGTTCCTTATTAAGACTCTTCCTTTCTTTCATTAGTTCGCTTGCTGCGCGAGGAGTTGCAGCTGCTCCAGGAGCAGGGCAGTTACATTGCTGAGGTAGTAAAACCCATGGACAAAAATAAAGTCCTTGTAAAGGTCCATCCTGAGGGGAAGTACGTCGTGGACGTGGACAAGGCCATCAATATCAAGGATGTGACACCCAGCAGTCGAGTAGCTCTTCGGAATGAAAGCTACACTCTACACAAAATCCTTCCCAATAAGGTGGATCCTTTGGTTTCCCTGATGCTGGTGGAAAAGGTTCCGGACTCCACCTACGAGATGGTAGGTGGCTTGGACAAACAGATCCAGGAAATCAAGGAGGTGATCGAGCTGCCTGTGAAGCACCCAGAATTATTTGATGCTTTGGGCATTGCCCAGCCAAAGGGAGTTCTCCTCTACGGGCCTCCTGGAACTGGCAAAACCTTACTGGCCCGAGCTGTAGCCCATCACACGGAGTGCACTTTCATAAGGGTTTCAGGATCGGAGCTGGTGCAGAAATTCATTGGCGAGGGATCCCGAATGGTGAGGGAGCTCTTCGTTATGGCCAGGGAACATGCTCCGTCTATAATCTTCATGGATGAGATCGATTCGATTGGTTCCTCTCGGCTAGAAACCGGAACTGGAGACTCGGAGGTTCAGCGGACCATGCTGGAGCTTCTGAACCAACTGGACGGCTTCGAGGCCACTAAAAACATCAAAGTAATCATGGCCACCAACCGTATCGATGTCTTGGATCAGGCCTTACTGCGTCCCGGTCGCATTGACCGCAAAATAGAGTTTCCACCACCGAATGAGGAGGCCAGATTGGACATTCTTAAGATTCATTCGAGGAAGATGAACCTCACCAGGGGCATAAATCTGCGTAAGATTGCGGAACTGATGCCTGGGTCTTCGGGGGCTGAAGTTAAGGGTGTTTGCACCGAGGCTGGGATGTATGCCTTGAGGGAAAGACGCGTCCATGTCACCCAGGAGGACTTTGAAATGGCCGTATCAAAGGTGATGATGAAGGACTCCGAGAAGAACATGTCCATTCGAAAGTTCTGGAAATAGCTTCAGTATATTCGACCTTCTAGATCAATATCATTCCATCTTATGTAAAAGTCTGTTATCACTGAATAGAACTATTTTCGATCTACCTGTATTTCTGCATCAGAAAGACAATAAGAAAAATAAACTCATGGAAATAAGTTCTTTACTTTATAAACTATGTCTAGATGCTCGAAATCTTACTTAGATAATATTATTTAGATCATAGCAAGGCTAACTCCTAGCCAAAGAAAGAGTGCTGGCCATGCTGACGCACTCACTAGCTCCATTTCCGGACTCGGCGTGGTCGAGGGAGTCCACAGATCTCGATAGATCCGGTTCATCGGGTCGAAGTTCCTGGTTGAGGGAGTGGGTGTTGTAACACAGCACCAGCCTAGTGTTCAATCCCTCGAAGACGCTCACTACACTGGGCTTCAAGTTGAAGAATATGATCTTTTGCTGACGCCGACGGAAGTCGTCCACAATGGAGGATATAACCTTGGCGGCCGTGTAGTCTGCTGCATAGATATAGGTGCAATCGATGACCACTGGCAAAGTGGACTTGCTGCCCAGCTTGAGTACCATATTTCGGACAAACTCCACCGAGGGGAAGATCAGACAGCGATCGGGGGTGATCTTGACGAAACGGATTCCCTGCTGGGTCTCCAATTGCTCGAGGGTTACCTTTGGCCTAGCCGCATAGTAAAGAATGAAGAGAAGATTCACTCCAATGGCCACCATGATACCGATTTCCAGAGGCAGCACCAGACAGGTAACAAAGGCCAGAATTCCAGGCACTAGATCGGAACCTGAAAGGATGAGAGATTACTGAGGAATATATCAACTAGACTGAGCCAGTCCTAACTCACGTTTGCTTCGCCACATGGGCGTTACGACCTGGTACTGGACCTGGAAGATCACAGCCGATATGATAATCGCCGCCAGCACCGCCTTGGGAATAAATGCGAAATAGTCGGTGAGGAAATTCAGGGCCAGCACTACGATGACACCGATGTACAGATTGGACATGTTGGTGCGACACCCACTGGCATTATTCACCGCCGATCGAGCCAACCCGCCATTGCATCTGTAGCCGGAGAAGATGGAGGTGGCAATGTTGCCCACTCCACAGGCGATCATTTCTTGGGTGATATCGATCTGTTTTCCCTTGGCGAAGGCCTTGCAAACAGACATGGTTTCCAAAAGAGCCATCAAGGGAACGATGACGAGACCATAGCCCAGACTCTGCACCATTTCAAGGAAATTCTGTCCTTCCACAGGGGGAATCCCGGCAGTTTCATTGCCAGGCTGTGCCTTGATGGAAAAGGGAGGAAGTGAGGGCGTGGGCATTCCTTTTGGTATATTTCCAGTTAGCCTAAAAGGATTGGTTCCATTGGCATCCAAGTACATGGTGATCGCGGTGAATACAATCACTACAGAGGCGTTCCTTGAGGTCGAAAAGAACTTGATCACATGATTGACAACCCTCTGGAATCCATTCCTCCTGGTCTCATCCTTCGGGCCAATAGTAAACTTTCCGAAACTTCTCATGGCCAGGAGCAGGAAAACACAACCAAATCCCAGACAGGTGTCGGCTACCCGCACATTTTCAATATCTCGGAACATGCTTATCCACGTGGCCAAAAAGGATCCACCATCGCTCTTGACACCCAGCATCGATCGCATTTGGGAAGTGGACACAATCAGGGCCACGGCACTTGTAAAGCCCGCACTCACTGGTCCAGATACGAACTCCACCAGACATCCAAGCTTAAAGATGGCCATCAGGATCTCTATAATGCCGGTGAGAAAGGTCAGAAGTACAGATCTCTGCCAGGATCCTTGGGCGAACTGGAATGTCATGAGCGAGGCCACCGCCGTGCTGCCAATAGTGCTGTCCTTGCAGGTGCCCAAAAGGACATACACGAAGCAGCCCATAAAGGATCCATACAGGCCATACTATTAAGGATATAAAGAAAAAGTCTTTATAAGCTGTCTGCCGAGGCTACCTATCGATCTTATCTGCCAAGAGTTGCTTCACCCGAGACACACTGATAATGAATGATCTAGTGATCATCTCTAAATTATCTCGGGGCTGCTTTTTCCTCAAACTTGCTAATAGGCTGGGAAAACATGGTGATATCTTGATGAACCAATCAAAATTTGTACACCCCACATAACATTTGGAAGCCTTCTTCTTCATAAATTCTTAAAGTAAATTTCGAAGTTTTTGTCTGCGGATTGGAACTCACCTCCGGTGGAAGACCGACCACGCCCGAATAGGCCAATCCCTGGGGAATAACGGTGAGACCCACGGTGAATCCAGCTATCAAATCGCCGATGCAGTCTCGCGAGTTGTAGTGTGGCAGCCAGGTGAGGAAGGGCAGTCGCCTCAAGAGGGTCTTCTTCCGGAAGATATTCCGGGCATATCGCGAGCAGCAGGACTCGGCATTTTCTGACTCTTTAGAAGCCTCCAATTGCTCCAAGCTCTTGCTCTTCGAGGTGCGATGGTCGGTGATAAGAATGAAATCCGTGGAGGAGCTGTCGAACTGCGCCTCCAGACTGTGATTAACCTCCGCCTGTTTGCGGAAGGTCACCTCGTTCTCGAGCGTGGACATTCTGGCCGAGATCTCTGCGTGAACTGATGGCTCGGACGACACGCCGCCGGAACCTGATGATCCAAGGGGCTGCGTCACGCGCTCTTATCTCCGGAGGCTGTTTGCCCAGATCTCGACGCGTGTCGTGTGTGGGAGCGGGATACAGGTTGTATCTTTCAGTTATATCCACAGCGGTTCCATAAACACGCCAAAACGCTCTTGACAATGATCCAAGCCCCTGCATCCGCCCCTTCCCTATGTTTATCTTGGAATTGTCGGCCAGTCCGTCCAATGGCACAAGTGTCCCCGATTGATAATCGGAATTTTTCCATTAATCAAGCGCGATCTGTGGAGAATCGTTAATCAGGTGTGCACTACTCGTTCACCGGGTAAATATTGATCTTGACAGTTATCCATCTCCGTCCAGCTGTGACTAGATCAGTAGCTTTTCGGGTCGAAAGATCGCTTGATGATCGAAAGTGATGAGATACTTGGTATTCAGATAGCTGTCTTATCTAATGTCAAGAGGCTACTGTATAATCTATCTTTATATCTCTAAGATAAAAAGGATTTGAAGGCGGAAAGAAAGTCTTACTATTTTTAGCTGATATACTCGCTGACGAAAGCAATTTGCGTAGTAGTTCCGTAGAATTCCCAAATTATAAAACAAATATTTAATATTCTATAACTTATGTAAAATGATAAAAGAACGCCAATAATCAACAAGAGATATCGTTATATATTTTTGTAGTTTTTTTATTTAATTTTTAAGTTTTTACATGATTTTTAAAAATTGTATTTTAAAAGCATTGCATTATGTCATACAAAGTAAGATATATCATTACATTATACAATCGATTGTTTTTCATTTGTTTTGTGTGTTTAACCATAAGTTAAATTTATGTTTAAGCATTTTCATAATTCAATAGCAGTAATTGTTTCAGAGACCATGGCTATATATGTATCATATATATATAGTGTGTATAAGTATTATGTATGTTATGTTTGTGTTTGTATCATATGTGTGCATGTGTGGATATAAACACGACTAAAACTATAAATTGTGAAACATCCTCCCGTCTAGGGGCTAAAAACAAGGGCCAGAATGGAAGGTAAATAAAATAAAGTACTATAAACGTGTGTTTAGCTGCAGCGTAAATGTGAAGATTTTGCTTAAGGAAATAACTATTTTAGAGCTGCCATTTAGAAAGCTGATCTGATTCGACCTGCGTGTGTGACAATGAACATTCGCCTAACTCGTAACAAACAAATGATTATGCTTATATGGTAAACCGAACACAAACTCGAACCGAAATCAATCAAGTCAATCTGAAGAACGCAACAAACACCAAACAAAACAATATAGAACAACAACAAGTTTATGAGACAACACTACTTTAGGCTATTGCATTTTCTTTTTCAGTGTAGAAATGAAGACTCCAATATCCACAATTCAATTCTGATGAGTCCTACTGCCAGACGCCAATGGTGTAGTTCCTGCTCAGGTGTCCCATGCGACGCTGACGTCCAACTGCAAGATATTCGAAAAACAGGATTAGTAAGATTCCCAATTGAGTTCGACAAGGTACTTGGCTCAGAACAAAGCATGACGCACAACAGTAGAATAGGTTTAATACAAGCCCACAGAAATGCTACCCTTGTTGGCTTACGGCTAAGCTAATACGCCTTAGTTGCTAATCAGACTTCCTGATCCGTAAATATTTACCAACCCGTTTAGGGTCTATTTTCGAACCAATCTCGGCTGGAAGCGTTAAAATTGACACTTTTCAGCTGACGGGGTCACCGGTGGATCTTAGGTGCTAACTCATGATGCTTTCATGATGCTTCACTTTGTGGTGAAATCAAATCTTAACAGGGGTAAGTCAGATGATGTCAATATAACTATTCTATTACTCTTAATTCTATTATTATTATTATTAAGTTACTATCAAAACTATATCTATGGAAATAGGATTACAATTTTAACAATGACACTTCTTAGTGCGAGTATATTTAACATTTCAAAGAACGAATAAAAACTAAATCCACTTTGGCTTTTAGAATTAACTTAATCCTTAAGCAATAGCTAAGTTACCTTAGCTTGTGAAATTCATAATTTATCGTAAGCTAAGTTTGTAGATATATTACCCAAAAGATACTTTACGTACTTCATGTCGCACATCATTCTTCGGTGTTAGTTGACAGCTGGTTGGTGGATTGGTTTCGGGGAGTACAGAAGGTCGGTTGGTGGGGGAGTTGGAGTTGGGTGGACACACAGATCTGTTGTTCTTGTTGCCGTGGCTGCTCATGTTGTTGTTGTTCTGGTTTGCTGGTGGTGTTCTTGGTGTCTTGGTTTCTTGCTGGGTTTGCTTGTTAATTGGTAATTATCTGGTAATCAAATCAGGAGTCGGACAAAACGCACACACATAGAGATGGCTTTCTGGTTGATTGTTGTTCTTGGGTGGTGGTGGTGGCATGTTGTTGTTGGTAGCTTGCTGCACATATTTCGTAATTTGTCTTTTTATTTACGCTGGTTCAGGCGTTTCACACGTACTGGAAACACAGATACAGGACAACGAGAGTGTGTTTGTTCGTGGGCGGGGCGGAAGAGAAGAAACAAATACATTGGCATTAGTCAAGTGGTGGCAACAGAGAGTGAAGAGATATAGAGAAGGATTCAAGAACAATTTAGTTTTCGGGTTAGTTTCGAACTTCAATCAATGTCAATCAATCAGTACAAAACGGTCAATCAGGTAGCAGGTACAACATTCAAGTGGGCCCAGTTTTCTGGGCTTTATTTCGGGCAGAGGTCCTTAAGACTAACTTTCAATTAGCTGGAAGCTTTCGGGGTTATTAATCGGGGTTAATCGCTATTCTTTTCGGCTGCAGATCAAACAACAATTACTTAGACAGAAGGATACCAACTTTTCGTCTGTTTGAGATACTCTGCATCGTGTTTAATATTTTTGTTTGTTGATTTTTCATGGCTCTGGTTGTCGGTGGTGCTGGCTTATTGCTTATTGCTCTGCTGTTAGTTGGTGGTTCTTATTGAATCATAAAAGTGTCTCAAATCTAGGTTTGTTATGGGTTTCTGCTACTTTCGCCTTACACTGACTCGGATCTGGGGACTCACTTAGATCATACATCGCAGTTTAATTCCTATGTGAAGAGAACTTTATTAGAGCCACCGTACTAGCTCGCTGCCAGAAGTTGTCTGAAGTGTGAATCGTGTTCTGGTTTGATTACACATACTTATGTAACATGCAAATGGTTTGGTAGGGGGAAAACATGCAAGAACAATGGGTTAAAAGCAAAAACATGCAGTGAATGGGTAACTTAAACAATAACAAAAGAGTACATAATGAGGCAACAACAATCTACATATTGGATGCTAGTGTTCATGACTGATCAGTGGGAATTGCAAGGACAAACGAGGAAGTCTAGCTTCGAAGAACCGAAGCTGTGGATACCCTTGCATATATTATTTACTATGTAAGCCAATTTGTAGACTTCTTAGATACAAAATTCGAAAACTAAATTAAATATTGCAAGAGTATGAAAAGATCTTTGTTTAGTTTACAGTCAACACTGCTATATATAATATGCAAACAGTCAGCCAAATTGCACTCTCTCTAATCGAAGATCTGCGAAAGCTAGTTATAAGCTATATTTATATAGCTTCTATATGCTATTTGCTAGTTGGGGGCTTTGGTTATTCGGCAGTTCTTGCAAGTTAGCAGAAGAAGTTGAAGAAGTGGATGGAGAATCCGTGTTCATAGATACCTGTGTTAAGCGTTAGATAAAATTATACACGTGACGCCTAAACGATTTCTCCTGGGTTATAGAAGAGGTCTCGACTTGGAACACAGCTCATGGACATGGGTACGCCCAGGTGGAAGGTGTACCCATCGTCCATGAGCCTGTTCGATCTGCGTTATATATGGTATATATGTATTTAGTTTGATATTTCACTTCGTTTCTTTGGTTTCAGTTTGCTTTGCTTAGTTAAAGTCTCTAGAGTATATAGATATTTTTTGGCAAGCTCGGGGCTGCTTTATCTTTAGCTTAAACTTCTGCTCCTGCTTCTGCTTCCTTCTTCTTTATATATATATATATATAGTATATAGTATTATACACGTTCTTTCGTTGTTATGTGCTTCTGTTTTTCTTCGGTTCTTTGGGTTTAGATTACAAAACGCTTTAAAAATGGTTTAGTTGCTTGCTTTCTGGTCTGCTTATTGAATTCTTGTCGACTTTCTATGCAGATTATTGAAAAATCTGAACTGCAGTCGCAACTCAAGATCTTTTCTTACTGAAAACGAGAAACAGAAAGAGGGGAAGAGAGAGAGAGAGAGAATAGAACACATAAACAAAGATGATAAAGACAAGTCACATAAGGAGGGCGAAAAATCATAATCATGAGTCTTTGACTGTCTCGAGAACTGAATTTCTGAATCGTTTTTGGCTGATTTCTCTGATTTCGTCTGTTTTTTGGAGGATAGAAAGATACAAAGATACAAAACACAGAGTGCTGCGATGAGAGTGTGTATGTGGGTGTGCTCGGGATTGGGTTAATAGCACGTCTCTGATCTGAATGATATATGTAGGATCGTGGCTGGATTATTTACACGGATCGATTTCGAATGGAAGAAGCGGCTGACAACGACGACATGGATACAGATATTAACAAGATATAGGTAGGTTGTGCTGGAATCACTTTCCGGTTTCTGCACAGTGTAAGAAAATCTCCAAAGTTTATCATCTCTCTCATAACAAAAGAGTTTATCATTTGTTTACAAAATGTAAGCTTGATTCAACTATTTTGTTATGAACGAGTATTGATAGCAATCTGGAAGTGATATTCTTAGGGGTCCGAGTGGTATGTACAAGTTCTTGGTCGGCAAGATCTTTGGACTGCATCCAGAGTGTTTTTGTGTGTAGTTTTTGGGCAACGACAACGACAACATCAAGGGTTACATAACCAATGAGACAGAAAAGGGAAAGGCGCGAGTGGATCGAATGACTGTCTGTACATGGCTCGAACTTGTGGTTGCTGTGGTTTCAGTGGATTTCAGTGGTGTTCTGTGGCATTCAGTGGCTCCGGTGGTGCGGCTGCAGTGGCTGCCCGGCTTCTCACTCACGTGTGCGCTTGGTAGACGCCTTCATCGTCGTAGTTTGGTGTCACGGACCGACTGCCCGGCACCACCATGTTGTCGGGATCGATCTCCGGATCAAAGGCATCGCCGCCGCCCCGGATGACCATATTATCCGGATCCTCTTCCACTTCATAGTCGGCCGGAGGCTGCGGCGATGGCGACGGCGAGGGCGTAGCCGATCGGTTATAGGAAACCAGATCCCGCTCGATCTCCATGTTGCCCGGCAGGATCAGCTTCGGCAGATTGGGCTTGAGTTTCTGAACGCGGAAGACTGTCGCGGTGTCGAGTTGATTGTTGGTCGATTTTTGGGTGTTTTGAGTTTGAGAGTAGCGTTGCAAATTTACAACAGACAAGTGGATAATTGGTTAATGTTCTTCTTGGCGGAAGTCATTTTACAGTCTATGGTAATTACAAGAAGACGGGAGACGGGAGTCGAGAGAGAATCGAGGGGTGGCACAGAATATTACAAAGGTGGGTCGATCTCTTCTACCGAGATCCTGGCTCTAGTCTAAAGGGTAACACATGGGTTAGCATCGATTATAAATGGAAGAATGATATACGTACTGAACCCTCTTACCATAAATGTCAATTAGAATGTAGTAAATGCTATTGTCTGGCCTAGTTATTATCCATCTTAATTCAATTTTAAAATATATCTTATGGGATGCTCAACCCAGAACGATAACGACAGGTGAAAACGAACGATAACGTGATAACGAAACGTGAACGATAACGATAACGCAACGAAGGCTGGTGAGACGATGTGAGAATGTAGAACGATGGGGTTAAGACTGGAGAATTGGAGTGACGATGAGGCTGATGGAGGCCGAGAACGGATTACCTGGTTACCAGACACAATCGAAAATAGATAATTGATAGAAAGATAAAGTGAAGTGGGGCTGGGGAGGACGCAACAAAGACGTGGAGCTCGGTTACCAAATGGGGCCGCTCAGATCTTCTTCTCAGCTCCAGTTGCTGATGAGGAGGCGGATGCCTCCGCCTGGAGATTGCGCACTAGACGCCCTGCAGGTGGCAAGTTATGGGTTACAGTATCTGATGGATCGGTCCAGGTGCGCGCCTTGATGAACTTCTCGAAGGCAGCCAGGCTCTTCAACCTAGTGGGTGAAACATCCTTGGCCGCCTTGGAGTCTGAATGGTCATGATGGAGTGGCGATTGATTGCTGGATGATGGAGAAGCGATGGTGGTGATTCCGCTGGCTAACATACCTTGTTGCAATTCACCTAAACGCGCGAGTGAGGCAACTCAGTCAATAAGAAATAAACCTAATCCTATCGAGGGGAGGAGCAGTGGAACGAAACGCGGAACCAACGCTGATCGCCTGCAGATCGCTGGGAGTGGAAGTAGCCGTCGGGGTCAACTGTCAATCCCAAGGGTCAACTTACTTCTGTCGATGTTGCGCTGCAGGTGAGCGGCCACTCGGTGGCGGGCGTCGTTGAACTCCAGGTGCAAGCCGAGGCGCAGCAGCGACGAGTTCTTCTCCACCAGGTCGGTGATCTCCATCTCGATCTTGTTGCCCAGCACCGCAGATCGCTGGTCAGAGAGAAATCAAAGAGGTAGATTGGCTTTTAAGTAATATTTAAGGTAGCAACACTCACCTGATTGGAGGCCCTGAACTCCTCGATGGTGTGGCACTTGAGCAGGGCTTGCACCAGCTTAACGATCACGGGCGGACTGATGAAGTTGGTCTCGACATTTAATACTCTCAGGGTTTTGCTCTTCTCGATGGCCTCGGCTAAAAGGAGAGCTGTCTTGTCGGTGAGGCCGACATTTGTCAGCGAGAGGACTTCCAGATGTTCGTTCTGAGGCAGTGCGGCAAACAGTTGCTCGAGCTTCTCGTCCGAGATGTTCTACAGAAAGCCAATAAGTTTAGAAAATGCAGAATGTTAGATGAAGTCTGGGAAAAACCTTAATGTTGTTCAAGTTCAGGTCGATCAGCTTGGAGTCATCGTCCTTGACCCGCTTGATGGACTCCTCAACATCTGTGCTGTTGGGCGGATCCATGGGGAAGAGCTTCTGCTGGGTGGACTTTGTGATGCCATCCCATCCCAAGCCCACCGGCTGTCCCTTGTTGAGCAAGGAGGCGTGGTACTGGTCCTGGTTCATCATCGAGTGGAAACCCAGGATGGCGGCCAGATCGATGATCTCTTCCTGCGTAGCATCGTTAAGAGCGTGCTCGTACTCCTCGCCCATGTCAATGGCGATCTGTTCCTCGGCCTCGATTTCGCGGGCATCCCTTGGCGGGGGCACCCACTTCTTGCCACGGACCTTGCCCTGAACATAGGGCTCGAACTCAGGCTGATCGGGCGTCTCGATGGCCTGCTTATTGATGTGCTCGATCAGCTGTTTCCGGTTTAGAGGACCAGTGGCCTCCTTGGTGCACTCATAGCTGTTGCGCTGGTCTGGCGGCAGGAAGTTATCCTGAAGTAATAGGAAAATGGTTAAAGTCAACGAAAAATAACCTCTACGAGTGGTTACTCACATCGGGATCCACTTCTTTGGCCAGTATGCTTATCTCCTCGGGCGAGAGCTGGGCCAGCAGGCTCTCCACATCCACATCATCGTACTCACTCAGATCCTTGCCATAAAGTTTGGCCGGGGTGGTGAGAGTGGTTGTCTTTGTAGTGGCTGAAGTCTGCAAAGCAAAAAGGAAAATTGTTTAACATTTCAGGATATTTAATTGCATAAAATAATATCTCAGTTAAAGATCATTTCCTGCACCTTCCCAATTAGAAATAATATTTCTAATGAAAGGCTTGTGAACACAATTAGATGTTTTCCCTACAAGTTACAAGTTTTTCCGACTTAAATGCCATGAGAGGATCAGTTAAGATTGCACTTAATTGCAGGGCAATCTTCCCACGCTTTTGCTCTCCTTTTCGCTTGGGCAAATGCCATTGTTTTCACTTTTGCAGAGTTCACTTTTCAGTTTCCTGCTTTTCCGATGAGAGGGAAAGTCAGAAGTGCTCGCACGGGGTTACGAGGTCTGGTAAAATGGGGTTTTCGAAGAACTTAAAGCTACTTTTCGCACATTTTTCTGCTTCAGGCGGAGGCTCACTGGCGGTTGAGGGGCGCGGCGTTTGATCTTTGGCACCGGACGCAGCTTAATCTGCTGGAACTCGGCCACCGGCAGGGCACTCTCCATACTGGACTCTTGACTTGACAGTTCGGAGGTGTCCAATCGATACGGAATATGAAATATAAGGCGCGCAATATGGCAAATCCAATTATGAATGCAACGAGGCGACTTGCAGCTTTTAGCTTTCAGCCGGAGACTTCAGCGACTTGGGACTGGGTCTGCGTTCCACCACCGACTGACTGGCAAGAGAGACCCACCGAAACACCAGACCACCGCACCACCAGACCGCCGAATTAAGGCGAGACAACGGCAACCACATCGAAAGCCAAGCGAGAGTCGTGCAACATTTGCTTCGAGCCAACCCAAAGACAGGCTGCAATCGCTCAGCCAGCCAGATAGTCAGCCACTCAGTCATTCAGCCATTCAGTCAGTTAGTCAGTGAGTCAGGCGTTCACTTCAGGCCAAGTTAAGTCGAGTCACTCAGCCAGTTGGCCCGAAGAGTTGCCAATGTAAATTAGGCACACCGTCAAAAATTAAGGCTAAGAAAGCATGCCTTTTGCAAAGATATTTTCAAGTTTGTAATAATGTTTACAGGTCATTGCAAAACAGATAACAACTTTTAAGATTAAACATTATTTAAGATTATTATTAAAAGGTAACAGCTTTTAAAAACATATCAAACTTATCTTCCAGTGCAGAAGGCGGGGGACAGGGGCAGTCAACTGTGGCATGACTTCTCCGCGGTGGTGTCTGCACTTAAACGACTTCTCGGTGGGAAATTGTTGTGCAACTCTGCCAGATTTCAAATAAATAAGTCAACAAATTGTGGCCCATAAACAAGCCGAGCGGAAGTCGTCGAAAAGCCACGAAATCGACATTAGACATGGAGGGAAAACCTGCCAGTGATTTGCATAAGACAATTGTAGGACTGGAAACATTGAGGGCGGAATAGATGTTCTAGCTAAGCGTGACCGACCGCGATGAGGAAGGAGGGGGAAATTTAGTATTTAGTATATTGTATTTAGTGCAGGCAAATAAAAAGCCAAGAAAAGAGCCGATTGAAAACTGGTTTCCCTCGAGGGCAAAAGAGTGCCAAGGAACCGCGACGGACAATGGCCATAAAACCGGGGCTTAAACTCCTCTTTGGCCAGCCGTTTACTTAGTGCTTTTGAACAGGGAACCGGTTTTGGCCACAATAGGTACAGCTAAGCTACCATAGTGTACCATCTCGGCCAGCAAGTACTAGCAAAACAAACCCACAAATGTGGCCAAGATGACGCTCCCAGATATTGTACGTGTATCTGATAGATACAGCTAAATGCTAAATGCTAAATGCCAGCCGCTGACCCACTTCCGAGTGATGCCTCTTGTGAGGGGGCGATTATGTCAGCTCCTAACGCCTCAAGTTGGAGCCAATTGTTGACATTTCAATTGGGGACAGCAGAACAAACTCCCTCAATGACACAGCAGCGCAAGAACTCCACTCGAATCCAATCGAACCGAGAGGAAGGCCTCCGGAGGTGGACCAACTGTAAACTGTGGGATCATAAAAAGTAATTGCAAAAATAATTGAGTTCACGGCACTCCGGAGACACTCCGAGGCGCTCGAGAGCCGAGCGAATAAATTCACGGCAAAACAAGAAATTAAGTCAATGTTTTGGCTAGTCGAAGAATGGAATGCACTTCGTTAGAGTGAAATATTCATAACTCTCACTAAGTTACTGAGTGTCTTTGGAATATTTCAAGGTGGTTGTTCAAGGAGAACCTTCAACAGGCAAATAACTAACTTAGTTGTGCTATAAAATGCCAAACTTACTGATCTAATATGCTCTTCCCCACAAAGAGTACCCCAAATGAGACCTGTTCTAGTTAGTAAAGCCCAGCCCACCATGCAAATCCGCACAGTAAGCCAGACGGGAACCGAAACGTATCTGTCAGATACTCGTCGTCAACACATTAAACATTAAAAACTGTTAACTGGCGTGCATCTGTCAGTGTTTCGGGTTCGGAGAGCCAATTAGAAGTTGCGATGCGAGATCCCAGTTAAATGGAGTGGCAGGCTCATTAATTGCAACGGGCCTTCGGAACGGTAGTTCGAAATAAACTAACTTAGGAGCAGTTCTACGTGTTCTCCGCCCACCTCCGCCTGCGAGTTTCTGTCAGCTCATTTTATGCAATTACAAAGCAAGTACTTGTCAAGAGATGAGGTTGAATGAAAGGCCTCGGTTAATGGAAGCCAGCTGCTTTGCCCTGAAAATGGTCTGAAGGTTCCGTCAGAAACAGCTTGAGATGCACTTGAGCCTTCTTAATGCATCTGTTGATTCAGAAGTACGATTTCCCATTCTTCACTAAAGCAAATGCAGCTTACAAAGCCAATATAAATAGTCTTTGAGTTTAATAATAATGAAAGGCTTTTATGGGTATATTCTACTCTAGCTGGAAGATGAAAGCCATTTGATTCTATATTAAACTAGTGAATGTCGAGGAGTTTAGTTTTGATATTAAGAAGTCAATCAGGCTTAAGACCAAGAGGAGTCAAGAGGATTTCATACCATAAAATCTGAAATTAATTATTCATCTTTGCCTGTTTGGTTATTCTGATATCTGCTATGTCCATGCCTTACTTCTGTCACTTAATCTTCTTAACAACGTTCTCTAAAATCGAATTCTAGTAAATACATTTTGTTTAGTTTAAAGATACTGTTGTATTGTTTTGCTATTTCCGTTGAGATATGTTATCGACTGTGTAGATATTCTGGTTACGATCCTCTTTAAAAGCCACCACCAATTTTAATTACAGGTTACCTCTATCTACCGAGTTAGGTAGAATAAATAAGCGTTCTACCCGAACAATAAAATACCGCTAAAACCGAAACCCAAACAGAAAACAGGAACAAATCCGGCTTAAGGCCATTCACAAAATCCTCCTGGCCATGTGTGACCCACAAAATTGAGCCCGTGAGCAGCGGGGAGAAATGTGAAACATGTTTTTCGGTGATTTGCACAAATGTATCTATGTATCTGACGGATGGGCGGCGGTCGTTGGGAGTTGGCTGTTGGTTGTTGGTCGCCGAATGCGAAATCGGTCAAGGTGCTTAGGCGATTTAATTAAGCGGCAAACAACAGCACAGTTTTCCAGCAGCGACAAACGGCAATGGTCACGTTTACAGCGAAAAATTTCACATTGCCCGCGGAGCGGAAAAACTGTGGAAAATCAAACAGAAGTGCATGAAAAGTTGGTTTCGCACACGTCCCACGAAAGCAGGTAGGAAAATGAAAATGGACCCGGCTAATGACCAACAAACTGGTGGAAATTCGCGTAGGAAGCGAGGGAAACGGGCAGGGAAATTGCAGCTCTCGAGCAGGAGGAAATCGTAGCAGGAAATTTCGAGCAAGAAACGTTAATTACATTTGCGACCAGGCTCGCTTTTATGGCCATCCGAATCCGACAATTAGTCGCGTGGAAAACCAGAAACCGAAGGTGAAAAGATGCGTCCAATGGAAATGAGCGTCGAGCGGAGTGTCGGGTGAAAATGCGTAGCTGGGGAAATTACATCTTGCACGGGGAAAACCGGCCAAGGCAGTTGCATTTTCTTATCTCAGAGGTATTTATTAAGTTATGATGGTGTTAAATGGCGTTGATTTTTATAATAACTGTGCTACCCTAACATTCCACTTGATAATAGGTACTAAAGAGATTTTAATTTGCCAAAGAACTACCCGTTTTCCCCTGTGGCATTCTGAAAACAATGCATTTCCTTAGCCATTGATAGATTGCCAGCTTTGCAAACCACATCACCTTACTCCCATACGCTTATCCCTGCGGGGTGAAAACTGTGTTATTTCATTTTCCCGGGCACTCCCCAAAGTGCCTGCATAAATGTGAAATATGCCCGGGCACTTTGGCAGCCTGGTAAGATGGAAAAGAAGTTTTTCCTTCTAAGCCAATTCCCAGTGCCAGTCAATTGCATATTCAGTGAACACGAATATGCTTTTTATATGGCAATATTTTATGCAATTTGCATGCCAACAGCAGGCAGCTTATGAGGAGAGAAGAGGGGCGGACGCCAGGGGGTCGACCTCCTGAAAGTTGAGACCTCAGTTGGTCAGTGCGAAAGGGAATCCGTTCCTGGTCGAGCTGTCGAGCTATATATACATTCTGGTTCTGCCTGCAGTCAGCCGTTTAAACTGCTGAAAACTGAGACGTCGATAGTTCCGTCTCAATGCACTCGTATTTAAAACAAGTCAGCTTGCTGAAGTGCGAGAGATTCGACTGAGATTGTACCCTGTATTAATTGAGATACTTAAGTTGTAAATATAATAAAATGAAACCAAAAACCTAGCACACCCCTGGTTTCCCATATTTCTATACAGGGTATGGACCTCGGGTCTCTGCCGCATCGCTGCAACCAGAAATCTCCGATATCAAAGCGGTTAAGAGGGGAACAGAGTAAGGAATCACTGGGGTGCTGGCAGAAACTGACAGTTGGCATGGCCATGGAAAACGTAGAAAAGCCAGAAAACTTGGCTGCAGTGCCGGCAACTTTCCCGATCTG